ACTGTTCTGTTTACATTCAACCTGGGTTACAAATAATGATATGTTCATGGTTTCTTTGTTTTGGTCAAGGCGAAGCATCCCGACATTTCTAATTTACTCTTATCTTGACCTCGTTAGAGATTTATCATCCTTCTATTTAGTTTCATCTTGTTACATACTTATTTGTCAAATTTCAAACTCCTGCAGATATCCTGGTTCCCTTGGACAACTATATATCAAGGGGCACTGCTCATTTCCTTACTTGCAAAGAACCTGACTATCAACAGAGTCTATGGAACATGATATCATGCGTGAGTTACTTTTACATTATTACTTGAGCCACTATCTGTTTGCTTGGAGGCCTGGTGGTTGATAATGATTGTTATTATTTTTTCTGTTATTACTGATGTCTCTGTTATTTTATTTTGTGTTGCAGATTATGTCAGATAAAAATATGGAGGACAATGATATTGTCCCAGCTCCAAAACTTATTGAAGTTGTCTTCCAGAATTGCAGAGGACAAGTGGATCACTGGGTTGAGCCATATCTTAGAATTACAGTTGAACGCCTGCGTCGAACTGAAAAATCATATTTGAAATGCCTTTTCATGCAAGTGGTAAGGGGTCGTTACAAGCAGTAATTATACTAATGAACAAAATTGTCAGGATTCAGGAAATTGGCTTCTGTTGCTTGGGTGGACTCATAGTCAAATATGATATCTGAATTTTGCTAGGGCAATTTTTTCAAGGTTCACTTAACACCCTTCTGTTCTGGAACTATGTCTCAAAGCTCATTTTGAATATGAATGGATTATAAGAATTTGGATGGGTATAATTTTGTACTGTAGTTTTTTAAGCAAACACCTAAATCTACTTGTTCTTAACTTAATGTGGATTACACTTCCTTGAGTGCTATGATTTGGAGGTTTCTTTATTTAAAAAGGAATAGAATAAATATAAAGAATTCTTTTAACAAATTTGAGGCATTTTCTGACTATGAGCTTAGTTTATCGATTGTAAGTTTACCTAGGGTTTCAAAGATTATTTGTCAGACATGAAAAAACATCATAAAGTAATTCCTTCTAAGAGGTGATCATTTTTCAGATTGCAGATGCTCTTTACTACAATGCAGCATTGACTCTCAGCATATTGCAAAAGTTAGGTGTGGCATCAGAAATCTTCCATCTTTGGTTTCATTTGCTGCAACAAGTTAAGAAGAGTGGATTGCATGCTAATTTTAAAAGGTTTGCTATTTAGGGTTTGACCATCCTCTTTTCATTTGCATTCGTAAATCTCCCCTTTGACCATCCTCCTTCTTGCTCTACTTAGTATGTCCATACCCATGCTTCCATTCAACAACTGAAGTTATTGTATGTGACAATCTCTTATTATGGTAAATTAAAAATCTTTATGCAGGGAACATGAAAAGAAAGTATGTTGCCTTGGTTTAATATCATTACTAGCACTCCCTGCTGATCAGTTGCAAGGGGAGGCTTTAGGCCGGGTGTTCCGGGCCACCCTTGATCTTCTAGTTGCTTACAAGGACCAGGTTGCAGGTCTGTATGCGTGTCCTGTCTCTGTATCTTTGGGGGTGGGGCGTGTAGCAATCATATATATTCATGATGGGAGATTGATGTTGATTTATATTGTATTGCTTGGTCATGTTTTAACTAGTTTGTTTTGTGAGTGCCTATTTTTCAGTCTAATTGTACTGACTGTGCAGAAGCTGCAAAAGATGAAGAAGCTGAGGATGATGATGATATGGATGGTTTTCAAACTGATGATGAAGATGAGGACGGCAACGGTTTTGACAAGGAAATGGGAGTTGATGCTGATGATGGAGATGAAGCTGACACTATCACACTAAGAAAGTTGGCTGAACAGGTGTGTGGATATAAAGACCTAACTTGCACATAATGGGGTTTTATAGTATGTCCACATGCATGTATGAGCTTTAACAAAGGAAATTCTAGTAGTTCATAATTTGCTGAGGTCATTAACCTTGTCCTGAAGTTTTCGTTTGATGTTGAAAGACCCAATTAGTTGAATCTGAAAACTGGACTAAACATTGAACTAAAAAAGTGTTCATGGTTAAATGGTCTAATTGTGGTTGAATCACAGTTACATGTTTCATTATGAACTTTAATTTAAAATAAAAGTATTCACAAGTGTAGGGAACAGATGAAAATTCAAGGTTTAACATTGGAGTAATTTTTTTTTATTTGTTAATAGCTTAATATTGAAACGTAAAACATGTTAAATTGTTTTGAATTACTCTGTTGACTAGTGTTAAGATAGTTTAGGATTCAGCAATTAAGTATACTATTAAATAAAATAACTTGGATTTCCATAACCATCTAGGCATGTTAGTTATGCATAGTGGCAGCATTGAATTGGTTTTGATCCCCCATCATCACCATTTATGCTTGAAGCTCTGTCCACCTAGTAAAAATGACTGGTTACTCTTTATTCAGTAACTAGTTCAGTGAAAGAAGTGGACAATTTTCAGCTACATCCAGCTAATTTTTAGATTTGTTGGCTTGATAGGCTTGAATGGTCCAGTAAGCCAGAAGGTTACTGATTTTCCAGTTGATCTGATTGGTCAAGTAGTGATATGATCTTATTGATTCAAATTTATATTTTTGAAGAGCAAAAGTTTTTTACATTTCCCCACACTGCACAAAATTAATATTCTTTTGTTTCTTCTTATTATTGATAGAATCTTATTTTCACTCTGCATTTGTTGCACATAGGCAAAGTCATTCCGGCCCAATGATGAGGATGATGATGATTCGGATGATGACTATAGTGATGATGAAGAATTACAGTCTCCAATTGATGAGGTGGATCCATTTATTTTCTTTGTTGACACAATCAAAGGTAAGTTAAAAAAATGTTTTTTATCATTGCCATCATCATTATTGTTATGGTCTGACATGCTCAGTTTACAAAATTGATTTTCATGTAGTGATACAATCATTGGATCAATCGAGGTTTGAGAACCTCACCCAGACACTTGAATTAAATTATCAAGCTCTTGCTAATGGTGTTGCCCAGCATGCTGAGCAAAGAAGAGCAGAAATGGAAAAGGAAAAACTAGAAAAGTCATCAGCTGTCACAGCTTCTTAAGCTTCTGAGTGTACATTACAATTGCTTTTTTTATTCTGAGGTTCTCAGGTGTTTACCCATTCTTTAGGAGAATCAGAGGTTGCCTATTTATTTGAGGCATTTGTCGGCTTTGTGGTCACCCGATGGTCTTTGAGCCTTCAAGTTTGCAGTTTTGAAGTGGTTGGAGGGTTGTGCGCCGAAGTTCCCATTGAGAGTAGAGAGGATGATGCATTCGGGAACTGGAGTGTCTCCAGGTCTTAGTTCAGCTTATTGTTTGGTGCTTTGGGCTATCCTTTGGAGGAATATGCTCTTATTGCCATAACTGTCTTGGCCCTTTCCACCCCTTTTCCCTTTAGTGGGCTCCTTTTATAGTCTCCATGTACCAACCCTATTATGTTTCGTGGATAGGATTTCTGTAATATTTATTACCTGTCACATAGACGGGTGCGTAGGGTCGCCAATTGTTTTTTTTGGTGAGGGATATACAAAATTTTGTTTTTTAAATCCTTTTTTGGTCGTTACTTTTGGTTTGAGAGTATAGTCCATGAGTATTGATGAAGGCATCAGTTTTGGGTTATACAAAGATTTTCAAGGGTCCCTTGCTGGTTGTAAAACAGTTATGTTCATTCATTATATAAATATTTTGTGGGGAATATCATATTGTACTAATTTGTTTGTTTTTTTCAGAAGCTTCAACTAGCGAGGCGATGGATAGAATCCTAGCCCGCACCCGATCACTCCAAAAATATAAAAGAAAATAATAATGTAAAATATACTTGGGATGGTTTGTATTGATTTTCATACAAATTAAAGCTAATTTAATTTTATTCGATTAAAAGTAGTTTCCATTGGATTGTATTATTTTTTTGAGTTTTAAGTTTGGGTTCGAAAGTATCTTTAAAAACTAAAGTAACTTTTAAATATGATGAAATTAATAGATGACTAATAACTTATTTACTGAATCATAATACATTGGGGAAGGTGACGGAATCCAAAGTGTGATATGGAATCACTACTTCAAGTAAATTGTGATAAATCTTTATATATATTCCTTTGATTTTTGGGCTTAAAATGGTATAAACTATATTACCAAAATATACTAGGCAACTTAATTTTGTTTTCTCTTTAAACAACCTTAATAGGATATGACTGTAATGTAATATAAACAAACATGTTTATGCTTTTGTTTTATTTGAGTCAAGTAAATTTACTTTCCATTAAAATACCTTTGTTAAACCGAAATTATATATATAATGGAAGAAGTTCATAATTTTTTTGACCAAGTCTTAAAATTGATCATCATCAAATCTTCATTATTTTTGTTTTCTCTCTATTTATATAAATAATTATTTTCCTCTTATTGAAACAAACTATTAAACCCTGCGATATTCAATATATGCTTATATTATAATTTACCCATACGAAATTTTAGTTTGAAGAACATAAAATAAATTCTATCCACAAAATAATACACCTGATAGTCATAATTCATTCATAATTAAGTTGTATTCAAGCATAATTTTGGGTCCTAAATCATGATTTAAATTTGAGTTGAAATGCTTTTTTTTTCATTAAGTAAAACTATATTTTACAAACTACTATATATTCCAAATACTCCTTAAGTGACTTATCCGAAGAAACATTCATTTCGGTAGAAGAGAGCATTGTATGGGCATCACGTGACCTGTGCAGAACAAGAAAAACTAGGAATTCATGTGACTGAACAATTGGAAATAAAAATAGTTATTATCCAAAGCGAAATGGGCGTGGCTCTATCCTCCTCTCCTCTGCTTTACGGAAAAAGCACTCACGCATCATTATCACACCCACCAGCGTCAGAGCGTCGTGACTTCCACGCGCTCCCAATCAGATTCTTGATTCTCCTGCTGGCGTGGACCCCAAACTCCCAAATTCGACACAGACCCAATGCAAAGCGCAGAAATTTCAAGCTACCATTCCCTCTCTTCGGCTTCGTTTTCCACAACTCACCAATCAATCAATTAGAGAGAGAGAGAGAGAGAGAGAGAGAGAGAGCGTGTCATGATGATGCCTTGCAGAACAAGAAGAAGAATCTTCATCTTCATCTCAGCCTGGTTGCTTCTGTTACTGTCTAGTGTTGGCGCCAACCACGGCGTCTTCAACGTCAAGTGCAAATACGCCGGTCAGGACCACTCCCTTTCCGTTCTCAAGGCTCACGACTATCGCCGCCAGCTCTCCCTCCTCGCCGGCGTCGATCTTCCCTTGGGCGGCAGCGGCCGCCCCGACGCCGTCGGGTCCCTACTGTTCATTCCCTTCAATTCATTCTAAATTGCAAGTGCTGTGTTCTGAATCGCGTCGTTTTTAATCGCGTTGTGTGTATTTGTAGGCTTTATTATGCTAAAATTGGGATTGGAACTCCTCCGAAGAATTATTATTTGCAGGTTGATACTGGCAGTGATATCATGTGGGTTAATTGCATTCAGTGCATGGAATGCCCCACCAGAAGTAACCTTGGTGTATGCCTCTTTCCCTCTTTCATCATTTTACTCTCTAACAAGTTCAATCTAAAACGTTGTTACTCACATGTTTGGATAGATATTCTCTCAGTTAGGCAATGTCTACCATGTCATCTCCTAGGTGCTCAGATTGTTATTTTACTTGTGTAAAACCATTTTTAATGGTAGGTTTGATTTCATCATGGTCTTCACAATTTTGCTATGTTGAAGAATGATTTGAGTGCCCATGTAGACCATGCCTAACCGAGAATTTCTCACATGCCTCCTCAAGTCAACACTGATGTTTTTATTTATTTGAATTTCTTTTCTTTGGGTGTTGAAGATGGACCTTACACTCTATGACATTAAGGAGTCATCCTCTGGTAAATTAGTTCCCTGTGATCAAGAGTTTTGCAAAGAGATTAATGGGGGTCTTCTGTCTGGATGCACTGCTAACATTTCCTGTCCATATCTGGAGATATATGGTGATGGGAGCTCGACTGCTGGTTACTTTGTAAAGGATATTGTACTTTATGATCAAGTATCTGGGGACCTTAAAACTGATTCCGCTAATGGAAGTATTATATTTGGGTGAGTTTTCCTGTGGCAGTAATGCATGCTGTTATGTATTTGTGTATGTCTACTACTTTTGGTCTGTTGCTGTTAGTGGATCTTAATTTCTCAGGAGTCATGAATGCAGAAACTCTGTATGTTTATTGTAATGCATCCTGTTGCTTTAGTTGCTATACTACCATAATTTCTCATATCTGGATATTATCTTAAAATAAAAGTGGATGTACCAGTGTGTAGGTATCGATTTTCAAAATTGTTGACTATGGTTACTGAGAAGAATATAAATTTGGTCCCAAGTCCTCACCAAATAAATATTGGTGGCTGAGAAAATACATTTGATTGTAGGTTTGGGTTAGCTGCTGCTGGTTTGAGTAAGACTGAGAGTGAGACTGCTGATGTTGATATTGATGTAGGCTTTTACTTTTTGCAGTCCTCTTTTGCTGTGTTCCAAGCTGGAATTTACTGTAGATTTAATAAGCAAAGTGTTATAATCTCAACCTTACTAAAGCTGAAAATAAATTTGTGTGAAAAAATGTTGAATAATTCTGCACTTGTGCAGTCAATGAATGTATCAACAGCAACTATTTCCTGGACAATAATTTCCTTGTTTTAGCCTTATTAGGTATGTTAAATATTAATAGCTTCCTTTAATACAATTTCAATGCCTGAATTTAAACTATTTCACTGCTAAAACTTTCAGTTTTGTCAAACATGCTTTAAATAAAATGGTTTAGTAAATATTGAGCTGGTTAATGGAACACCTTAACGTATGCAACACTCCTTTACCTTTTCTATTACTTTTACAGCCTGATGTGATTCTGGTGTTATAATGGTTTCCTAGTGGTTCTTATTGTGTATGATAATTTAACTGTGTATTGAAATATATCCTTTGGTTCATATTTACCCCTCTCTCTTTTATTTAAAATGAGATTTTTTTGTTTTGTAGGTGTGGTGCTAGACAATCTGGAGACCTAAGTTCCTCAAATGAAGAAGCACTTGATGGGATACTTGGATTTGGAAAAGCTAATTCTTCAATGATTTCACAACTTGCTGCTTCTGGCAAAGTGAAAAAGATGTTTGCTCATTGCTTAAACGGAGTAAACGGAGGTGGTATATTTGCTATTGGACATGTTGTGCAACCTAGAGTGAACATGACTCCATTATTACCGGACCAGTATGCCATTCATTTAATACACTTCAGAATGAAATTAATTTTTCTTAAATTATTTTTAATTACTCTTCTGGATAAGTTCTTTTAGTTTTATTATCATGTTATTTGTCAGAATGTCCACATTATATGTTATGCAAATATTTTATTGATGTGTCCTATGCTAGAATAGAACATGCAGCTTATATTATTGAGTTTGAGTGTCACATGTGAGTAGTTTCTAATTCACTTTTAGGATTGTGGATTATTATCATTAATGGTTTTATAGATCACCTATGATTATTAAATCTCAATAAAAGTCAACCCCAAATTATTCTTTGTAAACTTAATTATTTTTTTCAAAAGGGTGGGGGGACAATGTATGTCTGTGATAATATAATTCAAAGTAAGCTCAACATTAAAGAAAGAAGATTATTAATAGAGCTTAAATTCCATAAGTTTATAGTGGTTACATAATAATTCACATTCTCCACGGCACTTCTATGTTATGATAGAATAGAACATATATAATGTGTTTAAATTACTAAATCTTGCATCTTGTTTTCTTAACACTATTAAATGCATCTATTTCCTTTCTTGTAGTCTTGTTTGATTTGAGTTGTCTTATCATGTGAACAACATATGTATTTCTAATCTAACCTGTCCTTACTGGATCCCTTGTTTAACATAATGATTGGTGACTTCTGCTAGAATCATTAGTGAATTGTCTCAATGTTGGGGGGTGAGGGAGCTAAAATCCCTCCCCTCCAAATTTTGTCTCCCTTCAATGTTGGGGGGATCTAGAGGGGAGAATAAGTGCTTTATAATTTTCGGATTGTACAAACAAATTATCCTTGACATTTTATTGACACTCCTTTCCCCTCCATTAATGCTTATAAGGATATAATAGTATAATACTATTATTTTCCCTCTCCCTTTCTTACTTTGATACTTAGTCTCCCTTCTATCAGATATTGGTTTACAAAAATCCATATTTTGAGAGATATATGACATTTGAATGTGTTTTAGGCCACATTACAATGTCAACATGACAGCGGTTCAAGTTGGCCATACTTTCCTTAGTCTATCAACAGATGTGTTAGCGCAAGGGGAAAGAAAAGGGACAATAATTGACAGTGGTACAACCTTGGCCTATTTACCCGAATCAATTTATGAGCCACTAGTTTACAAGGTATATAAAGTCTGAATTTTTGTATATTACTAAATTTACATTACAGTTGTTTGAATTTCTTTCCTTTGTTAGATAATTTCTCAGCAACCAGACCTAAAAGTTCAGACTCTCCATGATGAGTATACATGCTTTCAATATCCTGAGAGGTATTATGCATAACATGCATATTCATTAATCCTTGTACTGTATAGTTACTGTAACTGGGGATTTATCATAATCTTGTCTTTGTAGTGTTTTAGGTGTAGAGAGAGGGAGAAAGAAAAAAGAAATAACATTTACTAAAATGTATCACATTGTATTAACTATTAAGATGTTCCAGGTTAACTAGGAATGGGTGTGAGGTGTTAAGATGTTCTACATTGATTAGAAGTATAGCCAAGATACTTCTTATGAGGCTTGAGCAATCCTCTTCACTTGAGTTTGCTTTTAGAGTGAGTTAGGTTGGATTTTTTTAATATGGTTGCAAAGTGTATCCATTTTTAATGTTGGGTCACTTGCAAATGTCTAGTCCTACAAACTTCATGCACCAAATGTTCAGTCTTAGGTGGGAGGGAGTGTGCTAAAGTGTCTCATATTGGCTAGTAATATAGTTAAGATACTCTTTATATGACTTAAGTAGTCCTCTCCTCTTGAGTTAGCTTTTGAGAACGAGTTAGATCCAATTTTCTAATGCCTTTGTGATATTTCTTAAGTTACAAAATTTTGTAAGTTTAGTTTTCTGAACTTTCTTATTGAGTATATTTCAATAACTGGTCTGCACCCTTTTCAAATCCTATGCCTTTATGTCAGCACAGCTTCATCATGAGTATAATGGCACTATTGGATTTTATGTTGCAGTGTTGATGATGGATTTCCAGCTGTCACATTTTATTTTGCAAATGGACTCTCATTGAAGGTTTATCCACATGATTATTTGTTTCCCTCTGTAAGTATGTTGCAAATACCATTAGATTTTTTTTATTTTTGTCATCAGAGGTTTATTTGGCTTGTTTTGAGGCCTATTGTCATCCTTTTCTGTCAATATTTAGTGATCTTGCCTCATCTTTGTTATCCCTTTCTTAAATGTTGCATACTTAATTGCATAAGCTTTCTGTTTAGGGCTGCATTCCAAGTTTCCAACTACAATTACGGATTCTGGTTTTATACTTGAAATTTGTAGTACAGGGTGAGACAGAACATGGACGTGCACTTACTGAATTCATCATTTTTTGATAGAATCTAAAATAGAGAGGAAAGTTAAGAGAAGAAAGGTCGTTTATATTGCTGAGTTGATTGATTAATCTGAATACAAAGTGAACCAATATTTATATTGTAATGGCTTGGACTACAAGCTGTGTAACAAGTGACGACCTAACAGTTGGATGACAGTTATAATAGAAACAGAAAGTTACATTCAACTGTTTTCTAACAGTATTCTAGCATTCCCCCTTTAATACAAAGGTGGGGACTAGGTACAATTTGTTCCAACATTCCCTTCTATATTGAAATAGTCTGCTACCCTGAGTTTGCTAAGAAGATCACTAAAGTGTTTGCTAAGAAGATCACTAAAGTGAGGTCTTCCAAGAGGCTTGGCCAGAAATTGCACTTGCAAAATAGTTTTAGCAAGTTATATTTGGGTTCTCTAATCAAATGGCATCTCCAATATTTTGAACTTTTTGGTTGTTATCTTGCCTAGAAATTCTAAGTAATTTGCTGCTTGTGCTTTTTAATACAGTCATTGTAATGAGTCTCACATTGAGTAGAATGAGATGCTCAATGTGATACTTATACCTTGAGACTCTCTTGCTTGATGGACTAGTCTTTTGGGTTTGCCTCTTTTCATGTGTTTAAGTCATAAAAAATGGTGCTTTTATTGAAAGTTGAGTTACGGAAAGGTTTACCTATAGTTTGAATTAAGGTACAATTTTGTTATATCTTCACAAAACAATATCCTAATATTCTTCTGTAATAAGTTTTTTCACTACACCTTCAGCAACAAATTTTATACACCTAGAGGCTACAGCATTTTCTAACAGCAGGTATTGCAATACGATTCTACCGAAATGTAACAATTCAGCCACGGGACGATACAAATCGTATGGCATATTGTTTTTTGTTGGGAATCATTGTCGGAATCGCATGAATCTTAGGATCCTGAATCGCGATTTTCGGGGCGCACTGCGATTCAGCCGTAAACCCAACCCAATTCCCTAAAAACCTTTTTTTTTTTGCGAAAATTACTGTTTCCACATAAAAATGCCTATCTGAGATCCACCCTATCAGACCCGCTATTTTATAGTGAAAGAAATCCTTTTTTTCTCTGTTCCCGCGCGCTGTGCTTTTCTTCTCCACTCTTCTTATTTTGTTGCTTTTCACTTTAGATTTTTGGTGGTCCCTTCATTTATTTTTTGTGGTCCCTCAAGTTCTTTCTCATTCATTCCCGTGCTCTGCCCCCCATGCTCTTCAACAGTTCCTATTTTATATTTGTTTTCTCCTAATTTTTTTCTTTGTTGTTTGCTGTTGGGGGAGCTAATGGTTCTATTTTATATTTGTCTTCTCCTATTTTATATGAATGATTTATGCAGTTACAACTTTTTTGGTGTCATTGTGATTGATGTGTCTTGAATCTTTGTACTATGTTTCATTTTATGATTATAAAATGTCAATATATATGTATTTAATTTTTATTATAGTTTTAGCAATGGTCATGAATCTTATGATTCACTATACGATTCGATTCACGATTTAAAAAATAAGTTTTTTGATTCACGATTTGAATCTTGATTTAACTACCATGAAATGTACTATTCTGAGAACAAAATGAACTGAGTAGACCTTCTATGCTTCATATCCATTAAGAAATATTCTGGGCCTCATGGTTCTTTTATAATGAGTGACTGTATCAATGGCTATGTGAACACTTGCACATTGATATGGCTGACACCTCATTTTGAATTTGATCTCATATTCTACTGGCTGGTGTTACGAAACTGTAAATGAGTAATTCATCAGTGCTCTGTATCTGAGAATTATATTTTGTTTTTGAAGTTTCGTTTAGATCATACTTTGAAACATAAGTAGTGAACTTTTCCCACAGTTCTAGTTATGATCCATGATGAATGATATCAGTCTTCTCTCCTTATCTTCTCCATATTCATTCCATGTGAAAGCATTCAGGGTGTACATTTTATGATTTCTAATAATTTTTATATGTCAATAATTTTTGTATCGATAATCTTTATATACATTGCTATTAATTAAATCTAATGTGCATCTGCAGGGAGATTTCTGGTGTATTGGTTGGCAAAATAGTGGGACACAGTCAAGAGATAGCAAAAATATGACCTTATTGGGAGGTATTTTCTTGAGATTTTCTTCTTTACCAATAAGGATTTACCACTAATTTGCTGAATACTGCTTCTAGCTTTAGGAGACTATCATAGCCATTATAAGAGAAAAAGGAGGGCAATTCTTTTGCAGCATTGAGAGATAAAAAAATTTTGAACCACATCTGAGTTCTGAAATAAACAAGAGCAGTACATTATGAATGCTTGGTGTGGAATGCATTTGTATAGGATCATGTAAGCTTTTTAGGTGGACATTTGAAAGAAATTGGGTTGTGTTGTGTTTTTTTTTTTTTTTGGTATAATTAGTTAATAGAAATTGTCTTTCAATGACTAAATCCTCTGTTGCTATAAACAGAGGACCTAAATCATAGGTATAAAGTCAAAGAGGATTTAACTAAGAAGGTCTTAAAATTGTGAATGTAGGTTCTGACAACCTTATGCAGCAATTTGCTTGTAATTATCTTGTTTCTGGAGAACAGTAGTAAAAGTTTGTACTACATTATTGGTCTGTATATTTTTTATGTCATTTTTTATTGGCTGGTTACAATGTGGAGGACTAATTCCTCAAACTTTTAGCAATTTGGCTGGATGTGTTATTCTAAAGTGGTCACATACTTGATTTGGCCACTTATTTTTTACCACATCTTGATTCCTCAATCATGATTAAGATCTCTAAATTCTTGGATAACTTGAAAATGAAATGTGCCTTCCTCCTGTCTGGTTTGGGTGACAAGAGGAGATATCATTTACTGGCCTAACAAGACTAATACTAATTATATGATATTTGCTAGTGGCCCTCTCCTGGGTAAGTTGGGGTTTTATTTTGGTGACCGGGCATTTAGCCAGAACTTTGTGCTGCAACTGGTGGACAGTATATCAAACTTAGTTCCATATTGTGCTTCTGTTGTGGAGCAAATATTTATGTACTTTCGATAAAATTAATCTCAGTAACCTGCTAAGAAATTGCAAGGTAAATATCCTAATAAATGTATTTTTTTACTGCTGGAAGATATTTCCTGATTTTTCTCCCTTGATATAATTATTCTAATTATAACAGGGTTATCAACAATCATTTTGGATCGCTAGAAAGTTTGCTTTTCATAACCTTGCTCTGCAGCTTCACGTATATTTTTATTTGTTGCAGATTTAGTGCTTTCAAATAAACTTGTCTTTTATGACCTTGAAAATCAGGCTATTGGATGGACTGAGTACAACTGTGAGTATCATTTCTTAGTGCTGTATGGCCTCTGGTATTTTGGATATTTTAATGTTTTCGCAAATTTCATAGGTGATGAATAATTTCTTGCCATCAAACAAGTCTTTTGTGCTTTCTTCTGTCTTATATTTGCTGATTTCCTCTGTCTTATACTAAGTGCTGGACTATGTTACATGAATATGGGTATGGTACTTATATCGAGTACAGATATGGGTGGTTTTTTGAAAATTGAATGTGTGGATATGCTAAATAATATAAATGAAAAGTATTTAGTATTTGTAGATTTTTATGAAAATATATATAGCAAAAGAAATAAACAAACGTCCACGTCTCACATTGCACTATGATGAATTGGTTTGATTAAATGGATTATCCAACTTTTCTAGCTGTGTACTTACACGTTAGTGTTCTTGTTGACTGCCTAGATAAACAAGAGTGCGTCATGTTTCTGATTAGTATGTTTAACATTAAATAATTTGCTACATGGGAATCAGAGCATTGTTAAGGATCTAATCTTACATTAGAAGTATGGGATTCTAGTGTGCAACTTTTTTTTTTTAAATTTTATTTTCTATTTTCACAAATAATTACACAAATATCATATCATTTTCATGTTTTTCTTTTTTTATATATTAGTATAGGAAATAGTGAAAACAAGGTTATTCTTTTCATTTTCTCGTTATTTTTATCTACAAATATTTAGTTCAGTAAAAAAGGTAGAGAGAGATCCAAAAGAATTTAAGAAAATTATTAGAAGAGTTATAGTGATAAATAATATTTTTAAGAATTTAATTTTTGACCGAGTTTAATAATGATTCATTTATCTGACCTCACGTAGTGAGATAAGATTTGATGATTATTGTTGTTATATTTTTATCTACAGTTATTTGAAAACTGAATAAAATGAAAAAATGTGACATTTTTGTATTTGTTTGTGAAAATTGAAAATGACCCTTAGTTTTTAATTTTGAGAAAGGCATAGTTCCATGTATGTTGATTCAGTTCAAATTCGGTGCTTGCTCATCGTCAGGTATTTGATGTAAAAATATGGTCCTCGATGATTTCCTTTAACCACTAATTAATTAGTTCATTTTAGATTGCTTATGTCTTATTGATGAAATAAATATTGATTGCCATGTTATATAAGGAAGGCTTCAGTAGAATTGCCAAGCAAATTATAAGAAATCAATTTCGACTGACCTGCATTATTTCCTTTAGGATAATTGCTCATTTAAAAAAATCTCTTCTATATATTGTATCTCAGGTTCTTCAAGCATTAAAGTGCGGGATGAGCGGACGGGAACGGTCCATTTAGTTGGTTTCCACACTATTTCTTCTGCTTGCGTTTTAAACATCAACCGGGTGATTATCTCGTTTCTAATTGCACAACTTCACAAATTGTTTTATTGAGATGGAGCAACTAATACATATACCCCAGTCAAAGTTATGGTTAAAGGAATTACAAATAGAAAGAGCATAAAAAATGCTATATGAGAAATTGACTCTTCAGGAACTTCCATGATATCTAAATATGATTTCAAGGAAAGCTAGGAAGCTGACCATTGGGAACCTTCGCTGTGGGTAAAATTTTTCTCCCCATGGTGAATCTGTAAATTATAAAAGCTTACCGCCAACTGTATATGTTATTAGACTTTGGTTTTTGACTTAGCTTGGGTCTCTGCCAAATGTATAATTAATAATCTACAAGTTAGTCATGGAATTCAAGTTATAGTTGCGACTATTTGACACAAGTTATTTTAGCATTTCCGTGCTGGTTCCCTTTGTTCGACCTATTTAGCAAGGTGCAGAATGAATGTTTTATTAATAATTAACATCAGCTTTTTAGATATTTAGAAAGTGTAATTTATAGCCAACGGTTTACTTTGGAGCAAATAATCTTTTTTGGGTGCATAATTAGTTTACAGTTAAATAGTCATGTCAGGAATATGATTACTATACTATGACAAATCATGGCTATATGGGTCAATCTGATATGTAACAGTTCGCTCTGCGAGCCGATCAGTTATCATTGTGCAAGTTGGACTGGGTTGACTACAGAATAAACGGACCTATGAAATTGCTAGCCTTCATCTGACCCATCCTGGTATGTGGTTAAAATTTAGCCCATGGTTTGGGTTGTTAACTTGGGACTTTAACCTGTTTAACTTGTGTCTGACAAAAAATAATTGCTTAACTTGGGGACCAAAAAAAAAACCTGTTTAACTTAGGTTTAAATGAATTGGGTAAAATTTATAATTAAACCTTTATAGTTCGTGGGGTACAATCATCACGAATATATACAATGTTTTTTTTCCTGCTTTCCATCAGACGATTTAACTATATTTCAAGTATTGACTACCGCCGCGAAATCAAAATTAAGATTACTTTTAAATGTGAAACTAACAAAATAATAAAGAAAGACCGAATGCATTCCATCAGTGTAGGCTTCCTCGTGTTTCACTCGATTATTCTAGTTCTTAAAAACTTCAGAATATAAAATTGAATATTTCCTTCAACTAATCTTTGAATAAACAGTAATTTTTCCTCGTTTTGACCGTCTGACCAAACTACTATTTTAGCTATTGATATTGACTAGAACAATCATGCAAACAATATGGCTGGCGAGTCATTTTGAGTTTTGTCATATTTCACAGTCGTTATTAAACTATCGGTTTTCTAATTAACGTCTTATGTAAATTCTTAATATAAATTGTAACCTTTAACACTGTTAATTTATTAAACTATGATATCTTATTACTTTTGATATAAATGTACTACACATAATTTTTTATTATTTATTTTGAGTACATGTTAAAAAGACTGTTAAAATATAAATGAAATCATGTGCTTAAAAAAAAAATGAAATCAATCTTCTTCCCCATGTTCATTCCATATGTGAAAACATACATGGCATGCATTTTATTCTTCCTAATACTGATAGGCAATTTTGCGAGTAGATTTCAGGTGTATTAGTTGGCAAAATAATGGGACACAACCGAGAGATAGTGAGAATAACATTAGCCATGATAAAGGAGACATGAAACAACACCCAACAAACAAACAAAAACATAATACGTACTATTGGAATGGAAAAAAGAGGGTGGGGAGTGGAAAATTATTGCAAAACCATCAATTTATTGTTAGAGAAAACAACACATCAAACAAATGAAGGAAAGTAAAATAAAAGCCTTTTACAATAAAGATATAAATAAAGTTACAAAATTACAACAAAGAGGAAGAAGGAAAAAGAAAGTAGACATGGAAATGTGGCAGTCACCAGTGACATTATAGAGCAGCTAAGATTATGAGTTTACAACCATTCTTCAACTCCACATTTCGGAGGCTCTGGGACAATCTATCAGAAGGCTTCCAAACATGCACTTCTTGTAAGGTAGTGAAGGACCAGAGTTGTTCAGGAATCTCATGTAAGTCAAGGCAGCTATAGATGACCAGATTTTGGAGACACGGCATTGCCCTTTTCTCTAGTGTCCATCCCTTTACACTTAGTTCCCTCACATGCAACACTTTAAGTTGTGGAAATTCTCCATCTCCAAAATTAATGTCAAAGGAAACACCACCATAGATCTTTATTAGTTTCAAAATGTGGTGGTTGGCAAGCTGTCCTAGAGTCTTGATATTCTTTAAAAATAACAATGCATTTTTAACGAATATATCTTTCAAGGTTATCTTGGTAAGATTTGTTGGAAACACATTTGCATCTGATGAAAGATGTAACTGTATCCCAATTATTTTCAGGCTTTGGAGATTGCTGAGGTGACATAGACTAGGTAATTGTTCGCCAAAACCTGAAGATGTACATTTCAAGACTAATTTTCTCAACTTGGGAAATATGTCATATTGTTCAACAGGGCAAACATTCCTTGACCATCATAACTTTTTAGCAAGAGGGTTTCCAGATTTCCCTTTATTTTCATTTGTGATTTTGGGCTTCAAAACACACACTTCTTGCATGGTAGTCAAGGACCAGAGTCGTTCAGGAAGCCCTATCAAGTTTTTGCAGTCATCAATAACCAAATGTTGAAGACGAGGCATTGCACTTTCCTGCAATCTCCAGCTTGTGAGTTTCACTTCCCTCATCTCAAACACTTGAAGCTGTGGGAACTGTCCAACATCGACATTAAGGTGAAAGAAAAGATCACTGCCACTGCCAAAGCAATCTATTAGTTTCAAAATTTGGAGGTTGGCAAGCCGTTCCAGAGTCGTAAATGAAGGCATATTTCGTTCCAAGTTTATCTTGGTAAGTTTTGATGGAAGCGCATTTGCATCTGATGGAAGTAGTAGAGCACCACATATTTTCAAGCTAAGAAGATTGCAGATGTGGGATAGACTTGGTAGTAAGTGCTGGCGATCTTCATAATATAAGCACAAATCTAATTTTCTTAACCTGGGAAATATCTCATTCCAAAGCAGGGATATCATTCCTTCACCATCTGATACCTCTAAACAGAGAGTTTGCAGATTTCCCTTTATTTTCATATGTGATTTTGGTAACACTCTACCCTTTTATATATCTTTAAATAAACATGTCTCAGTTGCTCGAGCTTCCAAATTTCACTTGACAGCGTCCCTGCTTTTCTCATATCAAGTGTTTCTAAATTCCAAAACCTGCCTACAGAATATGGAATGCCATGGTCTGTATTTATTCTCAAGTACCTTAGATGGATCATCATCTTCCAATAAGACACTATTAAGGATTTAGAATGTAGCACTCGAACCAAGGTGGAGTTTTTCACAATATCCCGAGAGAAGTCATCCACTTCAGAAAAGAAGAACATGGAACGTGTACTACGCAGTTGATTAAAATTGTTTGCAAAGAAATTAGACCCTACTTCGCAGTGGAAGGACAATTTACGGGGATTAGTGTTGTTGTTAACATAAAATAAGAGTAGAAGGATAAAAATGTTTTGCAGAGAATGTATAGATATTATTCACTTGCTCGTTTTAAATAGAGTTAGAGTCAAACATACAAAATAAAATATCCCTTATTTTTAGGCACGACTAACAATAATCCAATCTGATAAACAGAAACAAAAACACTTAATGACTAAGTCTTAAATAACAGAAAATTAAAATTCAAAAAATTGGATAAAACAGCCACGTGTGCAGTTGTTGCAGGCATATTTTCAACAAATCTCCTCCTTGCCTCAATAGCTGCAAACACCTAATTTATTTCTCAAAGCTTCAAATCTAGATTTTGGAAGAGCTTTTGTTAAAACATCTGCACTTTGATCTTCAGTTCTGCAATAAAGAAGTTTGACTTCACCTTCTCTTTGTACTTCTCTTAAGAAAAATAGCTTAATCTTAAAATGCTTAGTCTTGCAATGAAAAACAAGATTATTTGAAATGGAAATAGCTGCTTGATTATCAACAAAAATCTGTGTTGGCTCTTTTTGCTCCATATGTAGATCAAAAAGTATATGTCGTAACCAAATAGCTTGATTCACAGCTGCAGTGGCTGCCACATATTCTGCCTCAGCTGTGCTTTGAACCACTATATCTTGTTTTTTGGAACTCCATGAAAACATACCCGAACTAAAGCTGAAACAGTAACCTGTTGTACTTTTCATGTCATCATTTGAACCAGTCCAAACACTATCAGAATATCCTTGAAACTGAAAATTTTGAGAGTGAGTGAACTTGATGCCATAATTTATAGTTCCCTTGACATATCTCACAATCCGTTTGGCAGCTTGAAGATGGACCTCACTAGCACAATGCATAAATCTTGAAAGGACACTTACTGCAAACATGATATCAGTTCTAGTTGCACTAAGATACATTAGGCAACCAATTATACTTCTATAATGATATTCATCTACCTTATCGGCTCCATCATCTTTGCTGAATTTTTCTTTCTGGTTCATTGGTGTATTAATGCTTTTGCAGTCCTCCATGCAGAACTTCTTTAGTATTTCTTTTGCATATTTTTTTTGACATAGAAAAACTCCATCTTTTTCTTACTTCACCTCCATTCCAAAAAAAAAGGACATTAAACCAAGATCTGTCATCTCAAACATTTGAAGCATTTCAGTTTTGAACTCCATCATTTGTTTTTCATTAGTGGCTGTCACAAAGAGGTCATCAACATAAATAGAAACTATAATTAAATCACCTCCTGCCATTTTCACATATAATGTAGCTTCATTTGGACTTTTAATAAATCCAAGTTTTTTAAGATAATCATCAATTCTTCCATACCAAGCCCTTGGAGCTTGTTTAAGACCATACAAGGCTTTCTTTAGCTTGTAAACTTTATCTTCTTGTTCCTTAACTCGAAATACCTCTGGCTGCTCCACAAATATCTCCTCTTGCAAATAACCATTTAAAAATGCAGATTTTACATCTAAATGGTAAATTTCCCAACCTTTGTGTGCAGCCAAAGCAAGCAGCATTCTGATTGTATCGAGACGTGCAACGGGAGCAAACGTTTCTGAAAAATCCACTCCAAACACTTGAGCATAACCTTTTACCACCAACCTGGCCTTGTGTTTATTTATAGAAACATCTGCATTTAGTTTAGTTCTATAAACCCATTTGACTCCTATGGGTTGTTTGTGTTGAGGTCGATCTACTAGCTCCCAAGTGTCATTTTTTTCAATCATCTTAAGTTCTTCCTTCATAGCATTAATCCACTTCTCATCCTTTTCGGCTTCTTCAAATTCAGCAGGTTCTAAGACAGCCACATTACACTTTTGATAAATCTCGGATAAAGATCTTGTACCTCTGACAGGAATTTCATCAACTTCATCATCAAGGAGTTGTGGAGTTTCTAGAAGGTGCTTTCTTACTGGCTTCTCCCAACTCCACTGTTGATCTTCCATGAACTTTACATCTCTACTCACAAGAATTTTTCCATTTTGTGGTTGAAAAATTCTGTAAACTTTAGTCGTGCTACTATATCCGATGAAAACTCCGGGTTCAACCTTTTTGTCAAGTTTGTCCCTTTTAACCTGTGGAACATAAGAAAAACAAACACAACAAAAAATTCTCAAATTTTGTAAATCTGGTTTGTACCCAAACCAGCCTTCAAATGGAGTTCTTTTGTTCAAAACTCTACTTGGCAGCCTATTCAGCAAAAATACAGTAGTGCTTGCTGCCTCTGCCCACAGCTTCTTTGACAAATCTTTCTCATGTAACATGCACCTTGTCATCTCCATGATGCTTCTATTTTTTCTCTCACTTACACCATTTTGTTGTGGGTTGTATGGTACTGTAAGTTGGTGCTCAATGCCAGCTTCTTCATGAAATTTATCAAAAACGTCATTTGTATATTCTTTTCCATTGTCAGACCTTATTATTTGTAACCTGCAACCACTTTGATTCTCCACAAATGCTTTATATTTCCAGAAAATATTGGCAACCCCAGTCTTGGATTTAAAGAAATAAATCCAACAGTATCTAGTATAATCATCAATAAAAGTAATATAATATTTATTACCATTTAAAGACAATACTCTCTGAGGTCCCCCAACATCTGTATGAACAAGTTGTAGCCTTTGAGTTGCTCTCCAAGTGGTTTGAGGAAATGGTTTTCTGACTTGTTTACCAAGTTGGCAAGCCACACAATCTACCAACTTGTCTTCAAGCATCGAGACACCTTTCACTAAGGCATGTTTCTGCATGTATAACAGTCCTGCAAGATGAAAATGTTCAAGTCTTTTGTGCCATAGATTAGCATTGGTGGTTGTGCTCAAAAAAGCTATTTGCTCCTCCTCCATCAGATTTAGAGCATAGCTCTTAGATCTCATTTTCACTCTAAATACATCTTTGCCTTTTGCGTCTTTGATCAAGCACCAATTATTTTCAAATATGACTTTGAAGCCCTTTTCCACAAGTTGTGCAACACTAAGCAAATTTTGGTCAATGTTAGGCACATATAAAACATCAGAGATATACTTCAAACCTGTCAAGCTTTCAATAGCGATGGTCCCTTTCCCTTTAACTGAGATGAAATCACCATTTCCAATTTTTACTTTGGAAATGGTGATTTTGTCAAGCTCTTTAAACAGCTTTTCGTCGTGGGTCATGTGGTTTGTGCAGCCGCTGTCTATTAACCATGAGTCACTAGAACAGTTGATTGTAGTGAAACATGTTGCAACAAAGAGTTGCTCATCTTTTTGCTCCTCCAAGGTGACATTTGCCTCTTTTGATTTAGACTTGCAGACTCGCTCTACATGTCCTAAATCACCACGTTTTCTACACTTGATATCTGGCCTCCACCAACATCTTTCTTTTGGATGATTTGTCTTTTTGCAATGTGGACAGGGGGAAAAGTTCTCACCTTGCTGTTCGTTGAAACCTTCTAGCTTTTTGTTCTTCCATTTGTTGTTGTTTTTGCCACCTTTTGAATTTTGTGCTTTTACATGAAAAGCACCTTGTACTGTCTCATCTTGTCTCATCATTCTTCTTTGCTCCTGTGCCTGTAAAGCATTTACCAATTCTCCCAAGGTGATGGTTGACATGTCTTTTGACTCCTCCAATGCTGATATCTTTGATTCATATTTTTCTGGTACAGTAACCAGAATTTTTTGAACTATTTTTTCATCAGGAAAGTCTTTCTCGAGAAGCTGCACTTTATTTGCTATATTCATCAGTCGATCAACATAACTTTTAATAGTTTCTGTCTCCTTCATGCTCTGCATCTCGAATTCTCTAGCCAAGTTAAGCACTTGCATGCCTTTGGTTCTTTCACAACCAGAATATTGTTTCTTGAGATAATCCCAAACCTCTTTGGCAGATTTGAAATTCATAATTCTTGTAAATATGATTTTTGACACAGCAGAAAAAAAGTAATTTTTTGCCTTTGCCTTTTTTGTCTTTCTCTCCTTGTGGTACTTCATTTGAGCCACAGTTGGATTTTTAGGCAATATAGGAACGTCATAATCTTCTTCTACTGCCTCCCAAAGATCCAATGCTTCAAGATGACAGATCATCCTTGCAGCCCATAACTCATATTCCTCACCATAAAAAATTGGCGGTGAACCTACTGTGTATGTATTATCCTCCATTGGTGTTTCTCTCAACTCACAAATCCCTCAAAGATAAAGGCTCATGATACCAATTTGTTGTTGTTAACATAAAATAAGAGTAGAAGGATAAAAATGTTTTGCAGAGAATGCATAGATATTATTCACTTGCTCGTTTTAAATAGAGTTAGAGTCAAACATACAAAATAAAATATCCCTTATTTTTAGACACGACTAACAATAATCCAATCTGATAAACAGAAACAAAAACTCCTAATGACTAGGTCTTAAATAACAGAAAATTAAAATTCAAAAAATTGGATAAAACAGCTACGTGTGTAGTTGTTGCAGGCATATTTTCAACAATTAGCATCCATGGTGTTGAGCTCTGTGCAAAACTCCATGAACTTATCAGATTTTCCCTCTGATATGCAGAGATCACGGAGAAGATCATGAATGCGACATGTCTTAACACCACCATTCCTCTTCCTTCTTGCCACTTGCACCAAGCTGCAATCCACCAGCTCATCCAAGTAGTACTCTGCATATCTTTTGGTTCCACTGCACTTGATTCCAGCTTCACATGGTTGTATGAACCCTTCAGCCATCCACATTTGGATCACATCCCTTGCCGTGATCTAGTTGTCCTCAGGATAGATTCCAAAACACAAAAAGCATCTCAAAGGGTCAGTGAATGCATACTAGATATGAAAAGGGTTGGGAGAGGGAGACAGAATTGCAAAATACCAATGCAATGAGAGTAAACACTACGAAATTACTTTTTAGCGTTATACTTCACCAAAAACAGCATATTAAGAAGAAACTTCCACTAACATATTTGGGACTTGTTTGATGTTTTAGACTGTTGCAACATTGGTTGGTCATCGTGATTACTCTTTTGCTTCTGCATGGCATCTGATGGACATACCTTCGCAACGGGGAATCAGGATAAGACTTGCAGAGTATGGGATGCTAGACACTTATCGTCTCCTATTGCCATTCTCAAGGGTAACCTAGGGGCAACACGGTCTATTCGGTTTTCTTCAGATGGTCAATTTATGGTGGTTGCTGAGCCTGCAGATTTTGTGCATGTTTATAGTACAAAGGCAGATTATAAAAAACGTCAAGAGATTGATTTCTTTGGGGAAATTTCTGGGGTTTCTCTGAGTCCTGATGATGAGTGTATGTATATTGGAATCTGGGATCGGACTTATGCGAGCTTGCTACAGTATAATAGGAGGCATCAATATGAATATCTTGAATCCTACTTTTGATCTTTGATTCGTGCTGGTTGATTTAGGAGTATCCTTAATGTTAATTTATAGAGCTGTTTGAGATTCTATATCTTTTTCCTTTGTTTTTGGCAGTATTTTATGCAGGTCAGTATGATTAATGAAGACCACAGCATCCTAAGATATTTGTACAATGTAATCATTGCTCACCATAATTCCTTGTATTTGTGAACTTTTGATGTGAATGCCACCACCATAAGTCGCTAAATTGCTATTAATGTTCTGTTCATTGGCATTAGTTGTGTGTACTTTACATGAACCAAACGATTTAGTCAATCCATGGGGACATCTACACTTTCCGAAGAACGTTCTCTTTAAAAATTAGCAGGACATTTTCCTTGTTAGATAAGTTTCAAAAAGACATTAGTAAATAGAAGACAGGTACAAGTTATTTAGTGGAATTTATATGAAATTGATCTATAAATTAAAGCTAAAAGTTAGTTAGTAATCATATAATTACTTTAAAAAGTTACTTTATTGATTTTCTTATTTTTACTCATTTAGATAAAACCTAAATATCAAATTTCATTTTTTTTTCCCATAATAGTCAAATATTTTCATGAAATTTTGTGTGTTTATCCACGTGTATAACTTTTCAAACAACAATTTTCTCGTAACAATACTTGTCCCTTGAAAGAATGTTTTTTTAAAGAACAAAAGGAAAAAACTTGTATTTTTTAATTTTAAATTAAAATAATTAATATTATACATAGTAATTAATACATTTATGCTAAAATATTAATTTATACCCTCTTCTTCGGACCTAAGTTCCGAAGCAAGTTTCGAGAGTATGAGCTTACAACCGTTCTTCAACTCAACGCTTCGGAGTCTGTCAGCTAATCTTCGGTTGGGGTTCGAAACATGCACTTCTCGTAAGGTAGTCAACGACCAGAGTTCTTCAGGAATCTCTTCCAACCAAAGGCAGTTATCGATTACCAGATTTTGGCGACACGGCATTGCACCTTTCTCTAATCTCCAACTTTTGACGGTAATTCCTCTCATCTGAAACACTTTAAGTTGTGGAAATTCTCCATCTCCAAAATTAATGTCAAAGTAAACACCAGTATAGATCTTTATTAGTTTCAAAACTTGGAGGCTGGCAAGCTGTCCTACAGTCTTCATGTTCTTCACAAATATGCGTACATTCCCCAGCTCTGAGAAATCATGGAAGGTTATCTTTGTAAGATTTGATGGAAACACATTTGCGTCTGATGGAAGTTCTAGGTAGTTATTAATTTTGAGGCTATGGAGATTGGTGAGGTGGTTTAGACTTGGTAATGGTTTGTTGGAAGTATAATAAGAACAAAACATTAATTTTCTCAACCTGGGAAATATGTCATTGTTTAGCAGGGACACCAAATCTTCACCCTTAGAACATGTTAACAAGAGGGTTTGCAAGTTTCCCTTTATTTTCCTTTGTGATTTTGGTAGGATTTCTACCTTCAAAGCAGACATCCTTATATAAAGATGTTTCAATCGGTTGAGCTTCCAAATTTCTTTGGGGACCATCTCTGCAAAACGTACATCAAGCGTTTCTAGATTCCTGAGGTTGCGTATAGAAGTTGGAATAATACTGGCACTTGATTCTATTCTTAAGTACCTTAGATGGACCATCCTCTTCCAATCAATCATGAGTCCTTCGGCTTTGAAATATATGAGGCGAGCCAACTTGAAGCTTTTTGGACGAACTGGCAAATCTCTCCCCTCAGAAAAGAAGAACAAGGAATGACTGCGCAACTGATTCAAATTGTTTGTAGAGACATTAGACCATTCCTTGCATTGGATGGACAATCTACGAGGGTTAGCATTGCTCAGGGTATCCATGTTGTTGGGATCTGTGCAGATGTCCATAAACTTCTCAGATTTGCTCTCTGATATGCAGAGATCGCGAAGAAGATCATGAATTCGACATGTCTTGACACGCCCATCGCTCTTCCTGCTTGCCACTTGCACCAAGCTCCGATCCACTAGCTCATCCAAGTAGTACTCTGCAACATCTTCTGGTTCAGCTGCACCTTGGATTGCAGCTTCACGTGGTTGAATGAACCCTTCAGCCATCCACATTTGAATCACATCCCTGGCCCTTATCTCATAGTCCTCAGGATAGATTCGAAAATACAGAAAGCATGGCTTCAATCTTTGAGGCAGGCTGTCGTAGCTAAGCTTTAGTATATCCATCACTTTCATTTTGTCTTGAGTAAGATCCCAAGTGATCTTCTTGATTCTTGTCCACTCTCTTTCTGACTTCTCTTTCTTCGACACATGCCCAGCCAAGACCACAATGGCAAGAGGCAAGCCCTTGCAAGTCTCAACAATGGATCTACCGAGAGGCTCGAGATCTGACGGACACTCTCTACCTCGAAACACTTTCTTAGAGAAGAGATGCCAACTTTCTTCTACATTGAGAAAGGGAAGGTGGTAGGGAGATATGGTTCCAACATAGTTTGGGACTTCCATTTCACGACTAGTTATCAGTATTCTGCCAACGCTGCCATCATCATCGTCTGGGAAGGCATCCTCTATGCTGTTCCACACTTTAGTTTTCCATATATCATCAAGCACTACAAAGTACTTCTTCCCCTTCAAGCATTCTCTCACCTTTGTCTTCAATTTTTCCTCACTTCCAGCAATATCTTCAACTTCATCTTCCTTCTTCTTGAACAAATCATGATATTCATATGTGGACAGCAAACACTTGAGAAGGCTCAGCAAAAGCTCCCTCGCTCTATAATCGTTGGACACATAACCCCATGCACGAAGAGGAAAGCACTTCTTCACTTGTTCGTTGTTATAAATCTTCCGGGCAAGAGTGGTCTTACCCAACCCTCCCATGCCAATTATGGAAGCAACTTTGCGACCTGAATCACCCTCTCCCACGAGCTTCTTAATCACAGAGTTTGAGTCATTCACGAACCCCACTATGTCTTTTTCTTCCACGTCCTTCCTCCTTTCGCGGAGTGATTCAGCAGCAATAGCATCAATATCTTCACTTGTGGATGCACCTTTGATGCCGTATCTCTCCCTGTTTTTATAGATCTCATCAATACGGTTCTTGATGTTCGCTATCTCAGCATCCACGTCGTGAAGCACCATTAAACGTTCTTTAAGTGGAATAACTTGCTCACTATGTTTCTACTTCTATGTTTGGCGACGCTGGCGACGTAGATGTCGATAACATCCTCGGCCTTAAAGGCAACATCTCTGATTTGGTTGACCACTACTTTGACAACCTCGTCGTTGCGCTTACCAATGGAGCTCTTGAGGAAGATGTCTATAAACTCGAGCTCCTTCCAGAGGGAGTTGATTTTGTCCTCAACTCCCGAAAGCAACTTGAATTCATCGCCAAGAAGCTGTTGCAAGTTCTGAAACAGGAAGCTAACAGTAGCGTCCACCATATCTATAGCATGCAAAGCCAAAGAGTAAGGGAACAATGTTAGCGAAAAAGAAGAAGAAAAATGAGTGGCACTGAGTGTTTGTATTGTAAAGACTTCTGAGCAATAAATAACGCAACACATTAACAGGTCATTCAATGTTATAGAAATGATCACATAATACAGCTGTAAGTAAATCATCATGGAAACGTTGGAGCATATTAATTCCAATTAGTGTTTGATGCAAACATATACCTATTCATTAATCTGCTCTATATTATATGGTCCCATAAGTTGGGGATTGCTATAGTGACCTTTTTCCAGTGCTATTTTAACACACAAAATGAGTATTTATACCTCCTTTTCATTCTAGGAATTCCTTCAAACTTAACGAATTAATTTTCAAAGATTTTGTCTTTTCGACTCGACAACAAAATGGAACAGCTAAATGAAAAAATCAACATTTTCTTCGTGCATTTGCTAGTTTTTGTTGTGAAATTCTTTCTACTGCAGTATTTATCAGTAACAAGTTACCTTCCCTTACATTTGACAATACCACTCCAATATATATTTATTATAGTCTTGTAAATTCTGTTGAATAAACTTAAATGCCGGTTTTAATTGGTTTTAATTCAGCAGTTTTTTGTTAGAATAAAAAGTCAAGAGTTAGCAGTTATGTTTTTTGATAAATGGTTATAATGGGTTTTGATTGTAGTTTATGGCTATTAATAGAATTTAAGTTTTTTTATTTTATAAATAGATCATTGTATTATTTGACAAAAAGTGTGAGAAATATACAAACAATTTTTTCTCCCCTATCGATTTTCAATTCTACAAATTCATCATGCATTTGCTTCCAATAATGATTGTGATGTTAGATAGATAATATGACACAAAGGTTTCAGCCTATAAATCTTCCAGATTCCTTGGCCAGTGAATGTGAGCACTCTCTAAGCAATCTGAGTTATGCAGAATATCTTTTTCTTTTTTCTTTTCCCTTCCTTTTTCAATTACTGCTTGTTGGCTAATAATTCCCCTTTCAGGTACATTCTCTTATACTGCTGGATTTTTTTGGTTGATTAGAAAATAAATTGTATTGGAAATAGAATGAGAAAACAGTACAAAAAAAGATGCAGGATAAGGAATGCCCGAATGGATAAAGAAAACCAAAACAAAGACACAAAAGCTTTATATAAATAAAAATTCGATCACTAAAATTTAAATTATTAATATAAATATTAATAGTTTATATTATCATAATAATGTATGATTATACTTACTAAAAGTATCTTAATATAAAAAACTAATCCCAAGTAATTTTTAAGTATTTTATTTTTTTTAATATTTTAAAAAATAATTGTTAAAATAATTTTTTTTAAAATTATTTATTTTGGACATTTTTGCCACTTAGTAAAACTATTTTTTTTAATCAGTTTTTCCATTGTGGAAGAAATTTAAGGGAATTATGACATGATATGTGTCATAATTTCAAATTTTTGATTAATCTGATTTTTATTATTTATAATTATAAAATATTTAATTAAAATTTATGATTCAATCTATATATTTATTATTTTAATTATTCTAATTTTAAAAACAAATATAAAATTTTTAATGATATTTTTTTAATATAATTTTTAATCATAATTTATTAAAATTAAATTAATTAAAATTAGATTAATTAAATATTAAGTGATATGTATGAATTCATAGTCTTAACTCATAAAAAGTTGACACTTGCTCATTACATAACACATGGATGGATCTCAATTATTCTCAAGTTTGAAGTGATATTTTTTTTATTTAGTTTAATCTAGATGTGACCCAAGTCACATACTTAAATGTGGTGAATAAGTCTATTACTGAAAATTGTTTACATACATAAAAACTCAAATTTGAAACATTGCTGAAATGATATCGAGTTCGTTATAAAGACAGACTAAAATCAATTTTTATAAAAGTAAATCCAATTTTATAAACTAAAATTTAAATTATGTCTGGACTAAAAATAAAGTAGATTAGATATTTTATTTTTTAAAATTTAGATTTTTTAATTCAGTTTAGTTTAGGTTATAGATTAATTTTTTATATCCAGATTTTTTGTGTAACCCTACATATTTTGGCAGGTGTGGTAGCTAAACTTCATTTTCAAATTAATTTCACTTGTGTGTATATTAAGAAAGCAAAATCGGAGAATCTTCAAATCTATTATTGTCTCAAATTAATCCTTTGATTGCAATGTTCTGCTTAAGTTGGACTAAGTTTTTGCTGATAAAACAGCTAAAAGATAAGTAAAAATGACATAAACTTTGTATCCTTTTCTTATTTCTTTCTTTCTTAAGATGAATACTAAGTATATGTCTTAAATAATGCTAGTAATAACTGAAAATACTAAAAAACATGAATATAAATCCATAATCAGATCTAGTGCTAAAATATTATTGACCACTAAATAATTGAATAACAAATAAGATTATCCTAAGACTCACTAAGTAATAAACATGAAAACATATACTCAAATAATGATAATGGACTATAATATTTTGAATCATCTTTTCAACAGTTTTGTGTATACAATCACATGTCAATCTTGGATTGGAGACAACGCTACCGGTGATTTTTATAGGTCGTTAATGGCCTTGCAAAAATGTAGGTCTGGGTAGTTTGATAATTGATTTTCAAACCTGATGGAGAACTATTACTTATAAATGATTTGAAATCATTTTTTTTTTTACCAAATTCTCTTAATTATTAAATGAAAAAACTTTCTATATATGTTGTTTTATTTAAAATAATAAATATGTTTTTTATCTAATACTTAATTTATTAAGTAATTAAAAGATATAAAAAAAGCTATGTTGCGGTCTCTTTTGGTGTTAACAGTGGGAGAAGGAAAATGAGGTGCCTTTTAACGAGTTTCTCCTGTAATAGCCAGTAATAATAATTAAGTACCGACTTGCTGTGGTTGACCTTTTTTTAAGCATGTTGCTTTTTGTAATAAAGAATTAATCTAAAACCTTACCATCCAAATTTTAAAGTAAAAATATAAAAAAGGAGTTAAATGCGATCTTGCTACAGTATAATAGGAGGCACCGATATGAATATCTTGAATCCTACTTTTGATCTTTGATTCGTGCTGGTTGATTTAGGAGTATCCTTAATGTTATTTTGTAGAGCAGTTTGAGATTCTATATCTTTCCCCTTTGTTTTTGGCAGTATTTTATGCAGGTCAGTGTGATTAATGAAGACCACAGCATCCTAAGATATTTGTACAATGTAATCATTCCTCACCTTAATTCCTTGTATTTGTGAACTCTTGATGTGAATTCCAAGTAGTACTCTGCAATTCCAGCTTCATGTGATTGAATGAACCCGTCAGCCATCCACATTTGGATCACATCCCTGGCCCTGATCTCATAGTCCTCAGGATAGATTTCAAAATACAGAAAGCATGGCTTCAATATTTGAGGCAGGCTGACGTAGCTAAGCTTCAGTATATACATCTCTTCCATCTTGTCTTGAGTAAGATGCCAAGTGATGTTCTTGATTCTTGTCCACTCTCTTTGTGATTTCTCCTTCTTTGCAACATGTCCTGCTAAGACCACAATGGCAAGTGGCAAGCCCTTGCAACTCTCGGCAATGGATCTGCCTAGAGGCTCCAGATCAAGAGGACACGCTTTACCTCGAAATACTTTCTTAGAAAAGAGTTGCCAACTTTCTTCTCCATTGAGAAAGGGAAGGCGGTAGGGAGATATGGTTCCAACATAGTTTGCGACCTCCATTTCGCGGCTAGTTATCAATATTCTGCCAACGCTGTGATCATCATCTGGGAAGGCATCCTCTATCTTGTTCCACACTTGAGTTTTCCATATATCATCAAGCACTATTAGGTACTTGTTCCTGCTAAGGAAACACAAGTCTTCAAGTCTCTGCCCTGTTGTGTTGATGTCCCTCTGACTGCCGCTGACATGGGGAGGATACCTGCAAAAGGCACTCCGATGCTGAAGTCAGGATTCGACTATGAGTAATAAATGCTATTTAATAATGAAAAGTTAACCCTTTACCTATACTTCCTACCTTCCTTTTATAGGCATTATTATGGGCTAATGGGTCTGCTGAGTCAGCCTTGATTTTGGCCCTTTTCTTAAAGATAATAATACTTTAATTATTATCTTTAATTAGGTTAATTATCTTCAAATCCTGACGAGAGATATACGATCAAAATGGGCCGAATAGGTATTCGGTTTTCTTTTACTATATGTAGGACCGAGCAGTTCCCTATCCAGTACACTAGCCCCCCAAGCCCGAAGAGGTACGAGGTAAGGGCTTAAAAAATAAACGTGTCGGGCTGAAGAGCTGTCATAAAATACCAAGAGGGTATTTGGTCTAAAAAAGAGGCCATGGAACACCTAGAACTTCTAAGGTTTTAGGGTTTCCTCAATGTGTGTACGAAATGAAAGGGTGCTCGATCTCAACCATCCAATCTTGAAGAGATCTGTCGGTTTGGGAGAGAGGTGTCCCTTCATATGTCTGAGGGCCCAAGGCCCTATAAATATATGGTGGTCCAGGTTTTTTGTTTTCCACTTTGTCTCTAAGCCGAAAAGCATATATTACTGCTCCAAATTGAAAAGTGTGCACATTCTCTCTTTTCTTCCAAACTGAATACCTGTGAGGTACATGTAGTCTTTTCTCTCCCCTTCTTATTTTATCATGGCCGAATCCTTGGAATGGGAGGACTCGTTGTCGGATTCCACTAGGCCGGCTAGTGTAGATATTCAAAATGCTGACCGAACCGAAGGGGGGGTGGAGTTTGCTTCCAGACCGACTGGGGAAGAGGTAGAGAATCACTCTACCGAATGCCTTGAGAAAGCTGAGTCATCTGAATCCACTGATTCCGATTCTTCTGAAGCACTGCCGAGTATGAGCCCCCCTAGGGAAAGACAAGTATTCTCCCCTTGTACAATTCCTGGGTATGAGTGGGTACACGGTGAAGTAGCAGCCTACTTCTCTCGTTTTAAAAGAAATAGGAGCCTTCAGTCCTTTGTTGACCATGTGGATATTGCATTGTGGGAACCTTCCGAACCCTACCCCATATCCATTGATACTTGTCGAGGGGATGAGACCAAAAACCCTGAACTTGTTTTCTTAGGAGATAACGGGATGGATGACACCTTTTTCATGTACGAGTATATGTTTAGAGAATTAGGTGTAAAATTACCCCTTGACGACTTCCAAATGGGAGTACTAAGGGTTTTAAATGTAGCACCGACGCAACTCCACCCGAATGGGTGGGCTGCTGTCCAGGCCTTTAGGGTGCTTTGTAAATTTCATTATATAGAACCTAGTGTAGGTTTATTTCTTCATTTTTTCTATACTCGGCCTTCAGATTTAGCAAGGTGGGTCTCCTTGATAAGGCAACCGGAATTGTCATTATTCAAGCCTTATGCTTCTTCTTTTAAGGGTTTCAAGACCGGTTACTTCAAAGTAACCGTCCACCCTGTAGGTAGAAATTTTTTCTTTGATAGTGAAAATAATTCCCTTTTTCCATTCCATTGGACCCGAGTGCCTCGTCGGTACGACTGTGTTCCCGAGGAGGTGTTGTCGGCTAAGGAGCTATCGGCATTGAATTATTTGAAGTCTCTTCCCCGAGAGCTTCCTACCCGACATATACTCTTAGTTTTAAAATCTCCTCACCCTCGTCTTGACATGGATGGTATGTTTCATCCCTTTGGTTTAAGTTTTAAACTTAAGTTGTATTGATTTGACTTGCTGCTTTTGTTGTAGGTTTAATGGCTCAACGTAGTGTTCACATTCCCACATACCGCAAAACTTTGAAGTCCAAGGCACCTGATGGCACACCTGTTGAAGAATACCAGAACCCGCGAATGGATCATGTTCCTGAGGTGACCGAGCCCCAACCCCCTCTCCGAGACCTTGTCATTGCAGAAAACTAACCGAAAAGGCGCAAAGACAAAGGCAAGGAGAAAGAGAAGGGCACGGAAAAAGAGGTGGAGAGAGAGAAGAAGAGAAAGCATAGCCACTTGGTTCGACCGAATGATACTGAGGGGGCCCGCAAACAAGCTCGAAGTTCTGCGACGACTATGGCCAACAGTTCTTCCAATACTGCCATTCCCTCTATTGTTCTGTCCGACTCCTTCCTTTCTCCCGAGGTTCATCCCGACCGAGTAGTGGCCCCTGACCTCCTTTCAGACTTAGGTAAGGAAGCGGTCAATAACTTGGACCATGAGGCTTTATGGCGATGCTACGCGGAGCTACAAGTACGGTGTGCGACTATGCTCCGAAGACTGGTCGTGGACCCTATACTTGAGTTGAAGGATGTCCGGAAGGCATACTCGGCTTCTCAACAGGCTCTGACTGAGAGTAAAGAAACTCCGTCAAGCCTTAGCGAAACCATGCAATCACTGGAAGCCGAGATCACTCAATATAAGGAACATTATCGCATAGTCGAGGGTCGGCTTCAGACGACCGAGCACGCCTTAAGGGTTAAACAGGAGGAAATGGACGAGGCGTTGAGGGTTAAATTTGCGGAAATGGAGGCGACTTTGAGAGTGAAGTCTTTGGAGATTGAGGCTTTGAAAGCTAAATCTGCCAAATGGAGGGGGTCTTGGCTCTTGAAAAGCATAAAGCAGAGGCTGACTTGAGGTCCTTTGCCGACGACTGTGCGAAGCAAGTTGCCTTGGAACATGAGTCGGGCTTCAAGAAGGCTATACGCCAATGCTATGGATTCTGCCAAGTGCCACCTAACTTCCATTTTGAGGTCACCAAGGACTTCTTTGGCGGCAAGTTCCTATTGTATGATGAGGTTGATGAAGATATGGAACCCGATGCCGAAGCTCCCAACCAAAATGACGCTGATGAGAACACCCTTAATCCGCAAGCCCATGTTCTTGAAGCCCCTGCTCGTGAGGATGAAGAGGAGGGAAATTAAAAAATTTTAAGTTTTGTTTTGTTTTACACATGGGCCGATAGTGCCCAAATTTTGTAATTTTTTCAAGTGTAATACAAATTTTACTTTTTTCTTCCAAGTTCTTTTATATACAATGACTAGGCCGAATACTTCTTGTTTGTTTTATTTCTTAACCGAGTAGGAGTGCTCGGCAGGGAACGTATGAATTCAATCTTAATCAATTCAACCTTAGCTAAGTAGCACTTAGGAGGGAGTAACAATTCACCCTTAACCGAATAGGGGTATTCAGAAAGGAATTTAATTTATCCTTAACCAAGTAGAAATAGAGGGGAATTTAATTAATGATTCATCTATAACCGAGTAGGTTTGCTCGGGAGGGAATTCAAATAATAATTTAGCCTTAGCCGAGTATGGATACTTGGGAGGGAATTTAAATAAGAATTCATGCTTAACCGAGTAGGGGTACTCGGGAGGGAATTTAAATAAGTCATCCTTAGCCAAGTAAAAATGCTTGGGAGGGAATTTAAACAATAATTCATCCTTAGCCGAGTAGGGGTACTCGGGAGGGAATTTAAATAAGTCATCCTTAGCCAAGTAAAAATATTTGGGAGGGAATTTAAACAATAATTCATCCTTAGCCGAGTAGGGGTACTCGGGAGGGAATTTAAATAAGAATTCATCCTTAGCCGAGTAGGGGTACTCGGGAGGGAATGTAATTCATCCTTAGCCAAGTAAAAATACTTGGGAGGGAATTGAAATAATAATTCATCCTTAGTCGAGTAGGGGTACTCGGGAGGGAATTTAAATAATATGAAGGGCTTGAAATAAATCCAGACGCATAAAAAATCGCATAGCTGAGAAGAAGGATTTTATTGATAAGGTGCCTCGTTAAAAACCTTCCCAGGAAAACCCCTTTTCACTTTCTTTTAAGAGGACAAAACCTGGAGGAGAAAAAGAGTACACCGATTACAAATTACAATTCTTTAACTAAAGTAATGCTTCAAGTGTGTAACATTCCAAGTTCTCGGTATAAGTTTTCCTTCCAATGTTTCCAACTTGTATGCTTCATTATCTAGTCTTGCCGCTACCCGAAAGGGGCCTTCCCAGTTAGTCGCTAACTTCCCTTCTCGTCGATCTCTTTGTGCATCACCGGTTACTCGCCATACCAAGTCATTCTCATAAAATTGTCTCGGATTGATTTTGGAGTTAAATTTTCTTGCCATCATTCTTCTGCTAGCCTCAGTCATAATGGCCGCTTGTCCACGCACTTCATCTATTAAATCCAGGTTGAGGACTAGAGAGTCATTATTAGCCGATGCCTCATAATTCTCCCTTTGAAATAAAGGTTCTCCAATTTCTACCGACATCATGGCATCAGTACCATAGGTAAGCCAAAAAGGAGTCTCCTTTGTTGTGGTTTGCGGTGTGCACCGATAAGCCCATAGCACCTCGAGCAGCTTCTCTACCCATTCTCCTTTTGCCGAGTCCAATCTTCTTTTTAATTCGCGCAAAATGACTTTGTTTGCAGCCTTGGCTTGGCTATTAGTTTGGAGATGTTCGACGGACGTGACCCTGTGTTTGATGTGAAGCCTTTTCAAAAATTCATTGAATCGTCGATCTGTGAATTGCAGTCCGTTATTTGTGACCAAGGCATGAGGAAGACCGAAACGTGTGATGATATTTTTCCAGGTGAACTTTTGAACATTATTAGCCGTAATAGTAGCAAGGGGCTCGGCTTCAATCCACTTGGTGAAATAATCCACGGCGACAATGAAAAATTTACACTGCCCCTTCGCTAAGGGAAAAGGGCCGAGGAGATCCATACCCCAAATAGCAAAGGGCGAAAGAGAACTAATAGGGCGGAGGGTGTCGGCATGTTGATGTAGGTGAGGACCGTGTTGTTGACAGGGGGTGCATTTCTTTACAAACACATGGCAATATTGGGTGAGTGTTGGCCAATAATACCCTGCTCTGAGTATTTTTGCTGTCATGGTTCGTCCACCCAAATGGGTACCACAGATACATTCATGAATCTCCCTCATGATATAGCTAGCCTGGTCTTCGTCCAGGAATTTGAGCATAGGTGTTGAAATCCCTCTCCTGTACAAGTCTTTATCGAGAAGGAAGTATTTAGCTGCGTGCATTCTTGTTTTCTTGGCCAAGTCTGGATCAGTTGGCAGGCTGCCGTCGGTAAGATATTGGATAATGGGGGTCATCCAATTGTGAGGCGTATCTTCTGCATTCATGCACTCTTGCTTAGCTATGCTCGGTTTAAGGATCTCCTGGTGAATTACGCTTTGTAATTGCCCAGGTTTTCTTTGGCTAGCCAACTTAGTAAGCTTAGCAGCTTGTTCATTCATTGTTCTCGGGGTATACCGAACACATACCTCTTCAAATTCTGCTTCTATATTTTTAAATTCTTGGTAATATTGGAGCATGACCGAGTCCTTCACCTGATATGTTCCATTGACTTGTTCGGCCACTACCATTGAATCGCTCCAACAAGTGACACGTTTTACTCCAACATCCTTTGCTAATTTGAGGTCGGCCAGGAGGGCCTCATACTCAACTTAATTATTAGAGGCTTTGAATCCAAACCAAATGGATTGTTCAATTGTTACAGTGTTTGGCCCTTCAAGTATTATTCCTGCTCCACTGCCAGATTGGTTTGACGACCCATCAACATGTAGGTTCCACATATCCCCACTAGTGTGCAGTTGTGCCGTGAATTCATTGACAAAGTCGACAAGTACTTGAGCTTTAAGGAGGCTTCAGCTTTCAAATTGTATATCAAATTGGGACAACTCTATTGCCCATGCTACCAACCGACTAGCTAACTCAGGCTTTCTCAAAACTTTGGCCATTGGACAATTTGTTCGTACCACTATCCGATGACTCTGAAAATAGTGTCTTAACCGACAAGCTGTGTGGACTAAGGCAATCACCACTTTCTCCATTAACTAATAACGAGATTCGAGACCTTTTAGTGTTCTGCTGATGAAATAGACTGGGGCCGGTTCAGGTGTCTTTTGTCTCAGAACAGAACTAATGACATTATCCGACATCGTCAGGTATATGACCATCTCCTTCTCAGGCTTCGGTTTTGCTAACACGGGTGGTGCTGCCAGCATATTTTTGTATTGGGCGAAGGCGGCTTCGCATTCGTCATTTCAAGCAAAATTTTGAGATTTTTTAAGCAAGTTAATGAAAGGCCGAGATCTTTTTGCCATTATGGGAAGAAATCTGGAGAGAGCAGCGATCCTGCCGATTAGTCGTTGAACTTCTTTGACATTCCAAGGGCTAGCCATCTTGATGATAGCTTGACATTTATCAGGGTTTGCCTCGATCCCCCTTTCGGATAGCATGAAACCTAAAAATTTACCACCGGCTATACCAAATGTACATTTTTCAGTATTGAACCGCATCCCATATCGCCGAGCCTGACCGAATACTTCTTTTAAGTGCATGAGGCGGTGTTCTAATTTTTCAGATTTAATCACCATGTCATCAACATACACTTCCATGCATTTTCCTATTTGTCCTTCAAAAATTTTATTCATCAATCTCTGGTAGGTCGCTCCAGCATTCTTCAAACCGAAGGGCATTACTCGGTAACAAAAATTAGCAGAGTCAGTGATGAATGCAGTTTTTTCCTCATCCGGTGGATACATTCGGATTTGGTTGTACCCAGAGTATGCATCTAAGAAACTGAATATTCTGTGTCCCGCTGCGCCGTCTACTAGGGTGTCAATGTTTGAAAGTGGGTAAGCATCTCCTGGGCATGCTTTATTTAGATCTGTGTAGTCGGTACACATTTGCCATTTGCCATTTAATTTTTTGACCATGACTACATTGGCCAGCCAGATAGAGTACCTAACCTCTCGGATAAAACCGGCTTGTACTAACTTAGCAGTCTCCTCTTTCACTGCTTTTGCTCTGTCACCTCCCACTTTCCTCTTCTTTTGTGCTATTGGTTCCGCAGTTTTATAAACTGAGAAGTGATGACAAAGAAATGCTGGATCGATGCCAGGCATGTCTGAAGCCGACCAGGCAAATAGATCAGCATTTTGTATCAATGTTTTCTGGAGCTCCTGTTTTTCTCGGCTGGATAGGCTGACTCCCAAGTAAGTAACCTGCTCAAGCTTCGGTCCAAGCTGAAAAGGTTGCTTATTTTCATTGGGCTCAACCCGACACCCTTCATCAGTTCTCGGATCAAGTTCAATATCTAAGTTCTCCCCAGACCTAGGGGTGACAATGTTGACATCTCGGTTATATTCTTGGAGTGGTCTTATGCGTAAGCTTGCAAAATAACACTCCCTCGCTGTCTTCTGATCAGCATGAACAGTGACTATTCGGCCCCTTTTTGATGGAAATTTCATAGCCAAATGTGGAGTAGAAACTATGGCCTTAAGTTTGTTAAGGGACGGCTTGCCAAGTAATATGTTGTATGAGGTATTCGCGTGAACTACCAGGTACGTGACCTTGATGCGTTTTCCTTCATGTTCTGATCCAAATGAGGTATAAAGGTCAATACACCCCCGGGTCTCCACCCGTTCCCCTGAAAAACCGACTAGGGGTTCACGATATTCTCTGAGTTCCTTTTCTGGTATTCCCAATTGCTTAAAAGTATTCCAGTAGAGGATGTCGGCTGAACTATCCTAATTTATGAGTATTTTCCGGACAGTGTAGTTGAGGATTCTACACTTATCACCATGGGGTCGTCTTGTATAGGATCCACCCCTTGGAAGTCTTCATCAGTAAATGTCATAGGGGGGATCCGAATCCTAATACCGAGTGTGATATTGTTGACTGATCTGACTTGTCTCAGATGTCTCTTTTTGGCCGAATGGGTAGGTCCTCCATCGGCAAACCCTCCAGCTATGGTATTAATGACCCTTTTAGGATACTTCTTTCGTTCATCATATCTTCTAGTTAGGGGTTCCCTGAACCTACTTCTCTGTCGTTCAAATCTTTTGTCATCGGATCTCCTCGGTGGTGTGGATCTCCTCGGTGGTTCAGGATACCGGTCTCTTCCTTTGCCAGGTGGACCGATGGGACTTGTCTATACAAAATCTCTTAAATGTCCCTCATTGATTAATTCTTCAATCTTATCTTTTAACGCGGTACACTCCTCGGTTGTATGACCCATGTTTTGATGATAGCGGCAAGCGTTGCTTTTATCTGCCCGAGGAGGGGTGTTGGCACGTCTAGGCATTCTCAATATTTCTGTGGCCAATGCCTGATCAAGTACCCTGGACCGGTTAGTGTTGAGCGTAGTGTAGAAGAGATATTTAGGTCACCTGGGTGGTCTTTTAGGTTCATTTCTTCTCTCCTTATTTTCCTGTCTACCTTTGAAAGTCTCTCTCCTGTCTGTAGTTTTTGAATTGGACCCTTGGTCCATCTGTACCTGGTTTCGGTACTCGGACAATTCTTCCATCTGCATATACTTTGCAGCCCAACTTCTTAACTCGTCTAGGTCGACAGGTGGTTTTTTACAGATGCTATTAACAAAAGGTCCTGACTTTAGGGCCGTTATGAGATGGTGCATAGCCACTGCTGGTTCCAAGTTATGGATCGAAAGGGTCACTTTGCCGAAGCGTTCCATGAATGCTCTAAGTGATTCTCCCTTTTCTTGCCGAATATTGACCAGCGCTAGGGATGTTAAGGGATGAGGTCTGCTTGTGGGGAACTGCAAGCTAAATCGTCTCGTGAGGGTTGTAAAAGAGTCGATGGATGAAGGGGGAAGTCGGGTGAACCAACTGAGGGCTGGTCCTCGGAGTAAGGTGGGAAAAATCCTACACCACAAGGAATCATTCTCAGTGTACAGACCGACCTGGGTTGTGAAGACATCCAAGTGCTCCCCGGGATCAGATGTACCATCATATTTTTCAATCGTTAATCCTCTCCAGTTGTTGGGTAGCTTAGCTTCCAAAATGTAATGAATGAATGGGCTTCGACTTACAAGATCATCTCGGTCATTTTTGGCTTCAGACTAACAAACTTGCTTTGATTTCTCTTGCAACGCCGAGGATTCCCCATGATCCTGGATGATGGGTGTGGTTTGAGAAGGGATGTGTGTTCTTATTTCCTCTCTCAAGTTAGCACTTTCCCTTCTCAGAGCTGAGAACTCTAGTGCATCCTTTTCTCGCTCCTTCGTCTCCGTCATTTCTGCTTTGAGCTGCCTCAGTACAGCTAAGATGCTCTCATCTGTTCCTCCTTGCATCACAACTTCAGGTGTTGATTCATCTGGTATAAAACCCTCCAACTGTTGTCGAGAGGTTCTCCTTTGTTGAGCATGTCCTTCCTGTTGGCTTCTTGTAAGTACCATGATTAATTTGAAATAAGAGGCTAATCATGCCCCACGGTAGGTGTCAAAATGTTCCTGCTAAGGAAACACAAGTCTTCAAGTCTCTGCCCTATTGTGCTGATGTCCCTCTGACTGCCGCTGACGTGAGGAGGATACCTGCAAAAGGCACTCCGATGCTGAAGTCAGAATTCAGCTATGAGCAATAAATGCTATTTAATAATGAAAAGTTAACTCTTTACCTGTACTTCCTACCTTCCTTTTATAGACATTATTATGGGCTAATGGACTGCTGAGTCAGCCTTGATTTTGGCCCATTTCTTAAAGATAATAATACTTTAATTATTATCTTTAATTAGGTTAATTATCTTCAAATCCTGACGAGAGAAATACGATCAAAATGGGCCGAATAGGTATTCAATTTTCTTTCACTATATGCAAGACCGAGCAATTCTCTATCCAGTACAGTACTACTTCCCCTTCAAGCAATTTTTCACCTTCCTTTTTAACTTTTCCTCACTTGTAGCAATAGATTCATCTTCATCTCGTATTTTCTTGAAGAGATCATATTCAGACGTGGACTGCAAACACTTGAGAAGGCTCAGCAAAAGCTCCGTGGCTCTGTAATCGTTGGACACATAACCCCATGCACGAGTAGGAAAGCCCTTCTTCAATTGATCGTTGTTATAAATCTTTCAGGCAAGAGTGGTCTTTCCCAACCCTCCCATGCCGACTATGGAAGCAACTTTGCGACCTAAATCACCTTCTTCCATCAGCTTCTCAGTCACAAAGTTCGAGTCATTCACGAACCCCACTACGTCTTTTTCTTCCACGACCTTCCTCCTTTCGCGGAGTGATTCAGCAGCAATAGCATTAACATCTTCAACATCTTCCACGTCCTTCCTCCTTCCTCCTAGAATAACATGCACATAAACCATTTCTTGATTTTCGTACTCCTAAAGTCAGATATTTAGGCACATTTTCAACAAGATCGTACCTGCGAAGTAATCAATGTTGCTGCGGGCATTCCCGAAGCAAACAATTACATGAACTACAGCATAAAAATAATCGATTCCATGAATTGTTTGTCGTTTCACTCCAAGTCCCTTAAGTATGTGATCATTTTTCATTATATTTATCACTTTTAAAATGGCTGATCAGAGGATCGATGGATACACTGCTTCATTGCCACAACGTTAGCCTCTCTGTGATAAATTGGTGGTCAAAAATATATTTGTTATTGAAGAACACAACAAATATATTTTAAAAGCATATTAAAGAATACTCTTAAAGTAGACATCAATTCTGTTTCAGAAAAAGTGAATTTTAGCGTCAGTAACCTATGTTAGTGGTCTCTAAGATGAGCTTACAACCGTTATTCAACTCCAGACTTTGGAGTCTGTCAGCTAATTGTTTAGTGGGGTTCAAAACATGCACTTCTCTTAAGGTTGTCAACGACCAGAGTTCTTCAGGAAACTCGTCCAACTTATAGCATTCCTTGATTACCATATTTTTGAGACACGGCATTGCACCTTTCTCTAATCTCCAACTTTTGACTTTCATTCTACTCATCTGAAACACTTTAAGCTGTGGGAACTCTCCAGTGCCAACATTAAGGTCTCTTAAATCACCATCAACATAATTCCCATTTAGTTTCAAAATTTGGAGGCTGGCAAGCTGTCCTACAGTCTTCATATTCTTCAAAAACACAAGTTGACTCGTCCAGGGTGTTTCTTGGAAGGTTATCTTGGTAAGATTTGATGGAAACACATTTGCCTCTGATGGAAGTTCTAGGCAGTTATTCATTGTAAGCCTACAGAGATTGCTGAGGTGGTTTAGACTTGGTAATGGTTTGTTGGAAGGATTATACCGAGAAAATAACACTAATTTTCTCAACCTGGGGAACATCTCATTGTTTAGTAGGGATACCAATTCTTGACCCTTATATGAAAATGATGACAAGAGAGTTTGCAAGTTTCCTTTTATTTTCCTTTCTGATTTTGGTAGGACTTCTGCCTTCTTAACACTCCTCATATAAAGATGTTTCAGTCGCTTGAGCTTCCAAATTTCGTTGGAGACCATCTCTGCAGAACCTACATCAAGCGTTTCTAGATTCCTGAGGTAGCGTACAGAATCTGGAATGCTACTCACCTTTAGATCTATTCTCAAGTACTTCAAATGGATCATCGTCTTCCAATCAATCATGAGTGCTTTGGTTTCGAAATATATCACGCGAGCCAACTTGAAGCTTTCCAGAACATTCCTTGGGTACTCATCCTTCTCAAAAAAGAAGAAGATGGAACGAGTGCACAACTGATTCAAATTGTTAGTAGGGACATTAGACCATACCTTGCATTGGATGGACAATCTACGCGGGTTAGCATTGCTCAGCTTATCCATGTTGTTTGGATCTGTGCAAATCTCCATAAACTTCTCAGATTTGCTCTCTGATACGCAGAGATCGCGAAGAAGATCATGAATCCGACATGTCTTAACACTCCCAACAAACTTCCTACTTGCCACTTGCACCAAACTGCGATCCACTAGCTCATCCAAGTAGTACTCTGCAACATCTTCTGGTTCAGCTGCACCTTGGATTCCAGCTTCATGTGGTTGAATGAACCCTTCAACCATCCACATTTCGATCACATCCCTCGCCCTGATCTCGTAGTCCTCAGGATAGATTCCAAAATACAGAAAGCATGGCTTCAATCTTTGAGGCAGGCTGTCGTAGCTTGTTGAATAAACTTAAATGTCGGTTTTAATTGGTTTTAATTCAGCAATTTTTTGTTAGAATAAAAGATCAAGAGTTAACAGTTATGTTTTTTGATAAATGGTTATAATGGGTTTTGATTGTAGTTTATGGCTATTAATAGAATTTAAGTTTTTTTATTTTATAAATAGATCATTGTATTATTTGACAAAAAGTGTGAGAAATATACAGACAATTTTTTCTCCCCTATCGATTTTCAATTCTACAATTTGGTATCAAGAGCCTATGGCGAGTGTGACCAATAATGTGCCACTGCCTCGACTAACGAAGGTGAACTATGAGAATTGGAGCATTCAAATGAAAGCTCTTCTTGGGTCTCAAGATGGTTGGGAGGTGGTAGAAGAAGGTTTCAAAGAACCGAAAACTACCACGGGATATTCGGCAGCTCAACACAAGGCGTTGAAAGAGACGCGATCGAAAGATAAGGCAGCTTTGTACTTGTTGTTTCGAGCTGTTGACGAGTCGGGCTTTGAGAAGATTGCGAATGCAACAACTTCAAAAGAAGCGTGGGACATTTTGGCGAATGTGTACAAAGGAGCTGACCGGGTTAAACAAGTCCGCCTTCAAACTCTTCGTGGTGAGTTGGAAAGCATGAAGATGAAAGAGTCAGAAGGGGTCTTTGACTACATCACGCGTTTTCAAACCGTGGTGAACCAACTCAACCGAAACGGAGAAGTTTTAACTGATGCACGAGTTGTGGAGAAGATTTTGAGGTCGTTAACTGACAATTTTGAGAATGTCGTATGTGCTATAGAAGAGTCAAAAAACCTATCAATGCTCACGATCGACGAGCTCGCTGGTTCTCTCGAGGCACACGAACAACGTAAGAAGAAGAAGAAGGAGGAGATACTTGAATAAGCACTTCAAACCAAGGCGTCAATCAAAGACGAGAAGGCACTCTATTCTCAAAACATTCGAGGTAGAGGACGTGGTCGTGGAAGTCGAGGAAATGGTCGCGGTGGTAGAGGTCGCGCTCAAGAAGAATATTATGAGGAGAAAGAACATTCAAACCAACAAAATTGGCGTGGAAGAGGACGTGGTCGTTGGAGAGGCGGTCGATCCAATTATTCCAACATCGAGTGCTACAAGTGTGGCAAATATGGTCACTATGCGAAGGACTGCAACTCCGATAAGTGTTATAATTATGGAAAGGTGGGGCATTTTGCGAAAAAATGTCGGGTCGAGAAAAAGGTGGAAGAGACAACGAATTTAGTCACGGAAGATGTGGAAGCAAAAGAAGGTTTTCTCTTGATGGCACATAATGAAGTCAACACCAATAACAATACGGTGTGGTACCTTGACACGGGCGCAAGCAATCATATGTGCGGGCACAAGCACCTATTCAAAGAGATACAAAAGGTTGAAACTGGACATGTGTCATTTGGAGATGCGTCGAAGGTTGAAGTCAAAGGCCAAGGTACGGTTTGTTATTTACAAAAGGATGGCTTGGTTGGGTTAATCCAAGATGTATATTACGTACCAAATCTCAAGAGCAACATTTTGAGTATGGGACAACTCATGGAGAAAGGTTATTCGGTATTTATGAAAGACCGAATATTACACTTGAAAGATAAACACGGGCATTTGGTTGCTCGAGTTGAAATGGGGAGAAATCGCATGTTTAAGCTGAATTTGACAAGCGTTCGAGAAAAATGTCTGCGAGTCAACGTAGAAGACAAGGCTTTGCTGTGGCATCTCCATTTTGGTCACCTACATCATGGTGGTCTAAACAAGTTGGCAAAGAAGAGCATGGTGCACGGGCTACCGGACATGGACTATGAGAACAAATTTTGTGAAGAATGTGTGCTCAGCAAGCATGCGAGAACTTCATTTCAAAAGAAGGCAGAATATCGTGCTAAGGAACCTCTCGAATTGATTCATACCGACATATGTGGACCAATCACTCTTGAATCTTTTAGCGGTAAGAGATATTTTATTTCTTTTATTGATGATTTCTCACGAAAAACTTGGGTTTATTTTCTGAAAGAAAAATCCGAGGCATTCGAGGTGTTCAAAAAGTTTAAAGTGGTGGTGGAAAAAGCAATCGGTAGACACATCAAATCGGTACGATCTGATAGAGGTGACGAGTATACTTCAACAGCTTTCATGGAGTATTGTGAGGTGCAAGGCATAAGGCGATTTCTAACCGCACCATACTCTCCCCAACAAAACGGTGTGGCCGAGAGGAAGAACCAGACTGTTCTTGATATGGTTCGATCAATGCTTAAGAGCAAGAAGATGCCGAAGGAATTTTGGGCAGAAGCCGTGCAATGCGCTATCTATGTGCAAAATCGGTGTCCACATGCGAAGCTAGATGATCAAACACTACAACAGGCATGGAATGGACAAAAACCAACGGTTTCTCATCTCAAAGTATTTGGTAGTGTGACCTATGCACACGTGCCGAATCAGCGAAGAATGAAGCTCGAAGACAAAAGCAAAAGGTATGTTTTTATTGGGTATGACAACAAAACAAAAGGATACAAGCTACTAGACCCAATAAGCAAGCAGGTTGTGGTGAGTCGTGATGTACAAGTTAATGAAGCAAATGAGTGGGATTGGAGTAACTCAATGGAGGTTATCAATGAAGATGGAGAATCATCAACCGCTATACCAACAATCACACCGACAAATCCTGAAACTACCAGTGATGAAGATGAACCGCAACAACCCAGAATGCGAAGTTTGCAAGATTTGTATGATTCGACAAATGAGGTACACATTGTATGTCTTTCGGCAGATTCCGAGAATATAAGCTTTGAAGAGGCGGTGCGAGACAAGAAATGGCAAACTGCCATGGACGAAGAGATTAGAGCAATTGGCCGCAACAACACATGGGAGTTAACGGAGTTACCGAAAGGAAGTCAGCCTATTGGTGTGAAGTGGGTGTTCAAGAGAAAAATGAATGCTCAAGGCGAGATAGAACGGTACAAGGCGCGGCTTGTTGCAAAGGGATACAAGCAAAAGGAGGGAATTGACTATGATGAAGTATTTGCTCCTGTTACAAGAATGGAGACAATCCGATTGCTCATTTCACAAGCGGCTCAATTCAATTGGCCGATATTCTAAATGGATGTCAAGTCAGCATTCTTGAATGGAGTGCTTGAAGAAGAAATCTACATCGAACAACCACCCGGGTACATGAAAAGAGGAGAAGAGAAGAAGGTGCTGAAATTGAAGAAGGCACTTTACGGGTTGAAGCAAGCACCGCGGGCATGGAATTCTCGCATTGATGCATACTTCAAGGAGAACGGGTTTGAACAATGTCCCTATGAACATGCCCTTTACGTGAAGAAGATTGGAGGTAATATGTTATTTGTTGCTCTTTATGTTGATGACCTCATTTTTATGGGGAACAATGGTAAAATGATACAAGAGTTTAAGAGCACAATGGCACGGGAATTCGAGATGACAGATTTGGGCTTGATGAAGTTTTTCCTTGGTCTGGAGGTAAGACAAGAAGAGACGGGGATTTTTGTGTCACAGGAAACATATGCAAAGGAGATTTTGAAAAAATACAAGATGACACATTGCAATCCTGTATCAACACCAATGGAACCGGGTGCAAAACTCTCTAAATTCGATGGAGGAGATAGAGTTGATGCGAGCAAATATCGAAGTTTGGTGGGAAGTCTTCGCTATCTCACATGCACCAGACCAGACCTTTCGTTAAGTGTTGGCATTGTAAGTCGGTTCATGGAGGAGCCAGTTTATTCACATTGGAAGGCGTTGAAGCGAATTCTAAGGTATATCCAAGGAACGGTATCACTAGGGTTATTCTATTCGAAAGCGAAAGATTACAAGTTAATTGGGTACTCTGATAGTGATTGGTGCAGAGACTTAGACGATCGGAAAAGTACATCAGGGTATGTATTCTTTATGAGTAACACAGCTTTTACTTGGCTTTCAAAGAAGCAACCAATCGTGACGCTCTCAACATGTGAAGCTGAATATGTGGCAGCATCTGGGTGTGTATGTCATGCAATATGGCTTAGAAATCTGTTGGACAAATTGGAGCAACAACAAATTGATGCGACTGTGATACGAGTTGACAATAAATCAGCAATTGAGTTGGCAAAGAATCTAGTGAATCATGAGAGAAGCAAACACATTGACATTCGCTTTCATTTTATTCGAGATCATGTGAAGGAAGGAAATGTGGAATTAGTGCACGTGGCAAGTCGAGATCAAGTCGCAGATATTTTCACGAAACCGCTACCAACGGTACTTTTTGATAATTGCAAGAAATTGATTGGCATGAAGGATGGTAGAAGCATTTAAGTTTACGAAGGAGTTTTGTTGAATAAACTTAAATGTCGGTTTTAATTGGTTTTAATTCAGCAATTTTTTGTTAGAATAAAAGATCAAGAGTTAACAGTTATGTTTTTTGATAAATGGTTATAATGGGTTTTGATTGTAGTTTATGGCTATTAATAGAATTTAAGTTTTTTTATTTTATAAATAGATCATTGTATTATTTGACAAAAAGTGTGAGAAATATACAGACAATTTTTTCTCCCCTATCGATTTTCAATTCTACATAGCTAAGCTTTAGTATATCCATCACTTCCATTTTGTCTTGAGTAAGATGCCAAGTGATGTTCTTGATTCTTGTCCACTCTCTTGCTGACTTCTCCTTCTTTGCAACATGTCCTGCTAAGACCACAATGGCAAGTGGCAAGCCCTTGCAACTCTCGGCAATGGATCTGTCGAGAGGCTCGAGATCCGAAGGACACACTTTACCTTGAAACACTTTCTTAGAAAAGAGCTGCCAACTTTCTTCTCTATTGAGAAAGGGAAGGCGGTAGGGAGATATGGTTCCAACATAGTTTGCGACCTGCATTTCACGGCTAGTTATCAATATTCTGCCAACGCTGTGATCATCATCTGGGAAGGCATTCTCTATCTTGTTCCACACTTGAGTTTTCCATATATCGTCAAGCACTATTAGGTACTTCTTCCCCTTCAAGTAATTTTTCACCTTCCTTTTTAATGTTTTCCTCGCTTGTAGCAATAGATTCATCTTCATCTTGTTTTTTCTTGAAGAGATCCTCATATTCAGACGTGGACAGCAAACACTTGAGAAGGCTCAGCAAAAGCTCCGTGGCTCTGTAATCGTTGGACACATAACCCCATGCACGAGTAGGAAAGCCCTTCTTCAATTGATCGTTGTTATAAATCTTTCGCCAAGAGTGGTCTTTCCCAACCCTCCCATGCCGACTATGGAAGCAACTTTGCGGCCTAAATCACCTTCTTCCATCAGCTTCTCAGTCACAAAGTTTGAGTCATTCTTGAACCCCACTACGTCTTTTTCTTCCACGTCCTTCCTCCTCTCGCGGAGTGATTCAGCAGCAATAGCATCAACATCTTCACTTGTGGATGCACCTTCTGTGATACCGTATCTCTCCCTGTTGTTATAGTCTTATAGATCTCTTGAATACGGTTCTTGATATTCTCTATCTCATCATTGACTTCGTGAAGCCCCATGATACGTTCTTTTATGTGTAATAACTTGCTGATTACGTTTGCGCTTCTATGTTTGGCGACGCTGTCAACATAGATGTCAACAACATCCTCGGCCCTGAAGGCAACATCTCTGATTTGGTTGACCACTTCTTTGACAAGATCGTCGTTGCGCTTACCAATTGAGCTCTTGAGGAAGATGTCTATAAACTTGAGCTCATTACAGAGGGAGTTGATTTTGTCCTTAACTCCCGAAAGCAACTTGAATTCATCGCCAAGAAGCTGTGGCAAGTTCTGAAGCAGGGAGCTGACAAGAGTGTCCGCCATATCTATAGCACTCAAAGCCAAAGAGTTAGGGAACAATCTAAGTGAAGAAGAAGGAAGAAAGAAGGATAAGAAATGAGTGGCACTGAGTGAATGTGTTGTAAGACTTTTGGCCAACTTTAGCAAAGACTCAACAGTGACGAAGAGTAATAATCGACGACAACATGATAACAGGTCAGTCGATGTTTATATTAGTATTAAACTTTTTCATGAACATGTCTGAATAGTATATAAATGGTCACGTAATCCAGCTGTAAATCATCATGGAAAAGTTGGACCATATTAATTCCAATTAGTGTTTGATGCATATTGGTATTCATTAACCTGGTATTGTTTGGAAAGAGTGTTGAATTCTTAATATGGTTAAATATTGTAAATGATATTTTTTTTTTCTGAATGGATTCTTAATATGGTTAAATATATTTGAATTATTTCACTCGAAAGAATGTGAGAAAAGAGTGTTGAATATAGCTTTTATTTGCTCAAATGCATAAAATATATTAATTCTCTTGTTGCTATAAATGAAGAGAGAACATTCTTTATAGCAACAAGAAAAACAAGATGGGAACGTAGAGAAAGAAACAAACAATTTTTCTTGAGTGTTTTATTAGTAAGATATAATATATATTTTAAAAAAATTACATGAATGTAATTTTAAGTTTAAATGATGAAAATTTTAAATATGAGAGATTTTAGGTATGCTCTTTAGTGTTTTGTAATACTACTATTGTAGTCATAGAGAATTTCTTGTATTAATAATAGAGAAAATTATTTAGTTATTACTCACAATTATTTTGAGTACACTTCTACTCATATCTATTAAGTTGTTCACAAGCTTGAGGTGTATTTAACTCTAATTTTATAATAAATGGTATCTGAGTTATTTAATTTGAAATGTCAGTACCAAAATTTGAAAAGGAGAAATTTAACGGATCTAACAACTTCAATTTATGGAAGCTGAAGCTGCAGGCATTGTTAGACCACTAAGCTTTGACAAAGCGTTGATAAATTACTAAAAATATTATCTTTTGATAAAAAGGAGGAGATAGTGGACAAAACACAAAGTATAATTCAACTAAGCCTAACAAAAAACGTGTTGCTAGAGGTTATGAAAGAGAAGACTACAAATTTGATATAAGAAGCATTGAAAGGAAAAAATTCTATGAAGACCTTGTCAAACCAACTCTACTAAAAGAAGAGATTGTACACCTTTAAGTATTTTGGAGAAAATTCAATTAAAGACCATATTGATGACTTCAATTGGATGATAACCAATGTGTAAGTGCCTAAAATGAGATATTCATCAAGTCATGATCTTATTATCTTCATTTCATTTTATGATAATTTTTGTAATATCATTAATGTATGACAGGTCTTCCATTACATTCAAAGTTGTCAAAAAGACTTTGATGATAATAGAGCAATTGATGAGTCTATAACTTATCTAAGAAATTAGAGATTTTTGGCATATTTCATTGGATTTATAAGTTAATGCAATTAATTAAAAAATTCAATGGAATATTGCAAGTACTGAAAATTTTGTATAGATTATTCATATTCTGATGTTGGCAATTGAATTTTTGAAGAAAATTAGACAAAAAGTAGCAATTGGGCTAAAGGACGAAAGTTAAGTGCCGCAGGACATACTTTGTGGGGACATGAACTTTTATTTGTGGGGACACGATGCTGACAGAGCCTATAAAAGTAGAAAAATTCTGAAAAGACGACATTTTTTATCTTTCCTTTTTTAGAACATTCTGGAGCACGATTTTCTAGGTTTCATACAGTTTTACGTAGAATAGGGTAACTAGGGCAATTTCCTTACATCTTGGTAGAAGGATTCTCATGGGAACTTGGATTTCCTTTCCATCTTCTCTGATTTTTGTAATAGAACAATAACTCTTTTATTTTTTATTTGCTGTAAATTTATCTGCTGAATAAGACTCTTATCTTTTCAATATATTTTAGTTTATTTCTTTTCATTTCCATTATGTCTTGTTAAATCTCTTGGGGTTGAGTAAAGATGAACTTATACCTTTACCTATTGCGATGAACTAAGCATTGTATGTGACTCAAGATGGAAGCTTTAATCTAACTTTTTAATTCTGAACTTAATGTCTCGCTGTTCTACGTGAATGGGGTTGATGAAAAGGAGTTCATTGCTGGAAAGTTGTGAACTTTCTTAGACTGAGGTTAAAATGCTTATTATGAAATGTCTAGGAATAGAAATTTATGATAATGTGCTCATATGGGTCTTATCCTTAATGCTGAACGTTTTTTGTTTACCTAAGGGATTAGAAGATTAAAAGTCATTTTAGAACCAATTACCAAGGGATTGGAGTTGAATAATTTAGACAACCTGACCATTAGATTGACTATATTTTGAGTTACAAGTATATTTTAAGGAGAAAGGGATAAGGGATTCTAAACTCAACCTATTTATTAATCTTTGCAAAAACTCATTTTCTCTACTTGAGTTATTTACATTTTATAGTCCTGTTAATTATTTTCTGTATTAAATTTTACTTTTGTCCATTTATTAATTGTAATTCTAGCACCTTTACTTTCAGTTTTACAATTCTGCTGTGTTTAATTTCGTACTATTATATATACCCTGTTTTTGGTGACCCAACTAGTGTCATTCTTGTGGGTTGGTATTTAACATTAATCCCAGAGGACGATAATCTATTTTTGTTACTTTAACGATTTGGTGCACTTGCCAAAGAGTTTATCAGCAGTAGAAATTAGTATTAGGATCCAATGATGATAATCCTGCAAATTGATTGTTCATAGCTAAAAAGGATCATGAAGTAAAAGCAAGAGTAGATCCAAATCTAAAAGTCATCAATTCTTGAATTGTTCATTTATTTCATTCTTATTGCCCACTTTACTTGTCAAACTCCTTTATGCCAAGTGCCTTAGAGAATATATTTGACACACTCTGCTTCCCTTCGACCTTTTCAATCTTAACATCATCACATTCAATAATGTCTCTAATCAAATAATATCTTTATAGAATATGTTTGGATTTTTTGTGTGATCTAGGCTCGACTATGCAATTAATCCATTATTGTTACACAATAATGAAACTGTTTCTTCTATTGAAGAACTACACCAAGTTCAAAAATAAACTTTTTCATTAGAATTGCTTCCTTAGCAACCTCTGTATATTCTACTTTAATTGCTTAGAACTTTTCCAACTCATTGCACTACCATTTAAAGTAAAAACATATCTTGAAATAGATTTGTTATCATCTTTATTTGATGCAAAACTTACATCAATTATAACCCTTTACTTTTAATTCAGAATCTCCATAAATGAAAAATTGGTCTTTAGTTCGTCTCAAGTATTTAAGAATGATCTTAACCAATTTTCAGTGTTCCTTACTATAGTTTGTTTGATATCAACTAATTACACCTATTGCATAAGTGATATCAGGACATGTACAAATCATGGTATACCTATCACTGCACATGCGAATTCTTAGCACAATCATTGTTATTGAGAATAACTCCAGTTCCTATTAGTATTAACCTTTTTTGTAGTTTTCCATATTATACCTTTTATCAATGTACATAGATCGGGGGATCCCAAACAACTTTTTAAATCTATTGCTATAAATTTTTATTCCTATAATATAAGTTGCCTCTCCTAAATCTATTATAGAGAACTATTTTAATAGTCAAATTTTTGCATTATTGGTATATCATTCTCAATGAGTAATATGTCATCCACATATAACATGAAGAAAATGATTATACTCACACTAAACCTTCTATAGACATAAGGTTCTTTTTTACATCTAAAAATCTTAAATATATGAACAAACTACTTAATTATCAAGTCATTCTCACATATATCTTAAAAAAAAAAAAAAGTTGTATCAAATACACTCATAAAGATATATTATATCTCATAAGATCAATCTTATTGGTATCTATTAATTAAATTAATATTCTCAAGTAGTCTAAGAATTTAGTATAAAATTTAAAAGAAAAACATCTCTAATTAATTCTTTTAATTACAAGTCTTTGGTTGTCAAGTCATCCCTTGCAATCAAATAATTAACATGTTTTGTAACATACATCTCATACACGCAAAATATATTATACTATATTAGTTTCTGGTTTTTAAGTTATTTTTATTGGTATCTATTAATTAAATTTAACACTCTCTGGGAAGTCTAGACATTTAGTATAAAATTTAAAAACAAATCTCTCATGCTATAATTAATTCTTAATTATGAGTCTCCAGTTTGTAAAGTCATTCTTTATTATTAATTAAAATTTGTATTTATATCATATACTATTAACAACACATGATATTGGATAAAAAATAATAATAATTGTTGATTTTATGGTAAAAAAGTAAAATAAAGTAAAGAAAAAAATGTGCAAAAATGTGAGAAAAATGAAGGAAAAAAGAACTCAACTTTTATTCAATAGCAACAATGCATTTATAATAAGTAAAAAAAACTTAAATTAATTGTGTAACTGAAAGATTTGATAACAAACTAAATTATTTCTAAAATATTGAAACGACTTATTGACTATGATACTAATCTAATAAACTGAAATAACAGAAAACAACTGACAACAGTTTCAAAAGCATATTATTAACACTTCTCCTTGTTTTTTGAACTGCAAATTCTATCTTTTTGCAGTTTAAATTTGCTAACAGAAACTGAATATTGTTGTCAACAAAAATTTTGTGTTCTCTTTCTGCTTCAAATTAGCATCAAATAAAATCTTCTTTTGCCATAGAAAAAAGAAGCAATTAATTGAGTCACTTAGATCACTGTTAGAGAAATTAATCAATTTAAATTTTTCACTCCTCTTGAAGTTGATGCTTGAGTTATGAGTGTCTTTGAAATATTTAACCACTCTCTTTGCAACCTTGGAATGTCTTTCATTTGCACTATGGATGAAATTAGAAAACTTACTTTCACACTCAAGTTATTAGGATGAAATGTTGTGGTATTTTCTTTGCATGAGAAAGTTGTTTGCTCCTCTTTAGATAGATTTAGAGTAAAATTTTTTCGTTTTATTTTTACTTTGAAAATATCTTGACCAACTTCATCTTTAATCAAACAATGTTTATCTTCAAAAATAACTTTGAATCCCCCTTAAATCAGTTGACCAACATTTAACAAATTTTAGTCAATTTTAGAAATTTAAAGAACATCATGAATTAACTTCGTGCCTGAATAGTTTGCTATTACAATTGTTCCCTTTCCTTTGACTGGGATGAAATCACCATTACCTATTTTGACTTTAGTGATGTTAGTTGGTATAAAATCTCTAAAGAGTTTTTTGTTATTAATCATGTGGTTAGTGCAACCATTATCAATTAGTCAACTTTCATTTGATTTAAAGTCAGAGAGGCAAGTAGAAACAAATAAATGATCTTTTTCCTGAGCAATCTTAGTCTCTTTATTTTAGTGTTGGTTTTGATTTTTGAATATAATTTCTTCATTTCCCATTTGGTTGCATTTACTGCATTGTGCATTTGGCCTTCTCCAACATTTGAAAAAAGGATGACTATTTTTTCCACAATGATGACATGGAGGATAATATTTCTTCTTGTTGTATCTTGCACTTTCATGGTGCGTGATACTTAATGCTCCCTCAATAACACCTTTTTGTCTCATTGCACGCCTTTGCTCTTGTGCTTGTAAGGCATTTAAGAGTTCCACCAGTGTAATTTTGAACAAGTATTTGGTATTTTCTAAGATGGTGATTGTACCTCAAATCTTTCAGGCACTGTTACAAGAATTTTTTTAATAATTTTACAATAAGAAAAATCAGTACCTAGTAATCTTACCTTTTTGGCTGTGCCAAGTAGTCTGAGTATACTTTGATTGTCTCAGACTCTTTCATTCTTTGGAGTCCAAATTCTTTCATCAAATTCAACATTTGCATGCCTCGAATTCTTTCATTCCCGACATATTCTTTCTTAAGATAATCCCAAATTGCTTTTGCTGTTTTTAAAATCATGATTTCAGTGAAGATAGTTGTTGAAACACCAGTAGAAAGACATGATTTTGTCCTTGACTTTCATAGTTATCTCTCTTTATGACTTCTTATTTAGGGTATGGTAGGATTATGCGGCAGCGGAAAAATTTTGTAGTCCTCTTCAACAGCTTCCCAACAATCTAAAGCCTCTAGGTAAGTCTCCATTTTGATAGCCCAAAGATCATAATTTTCTCCATCAAAGACTGGAGGAATAACTTGTGAAAAATTGAATTCAACATCCATTTTCACAGGTCTGTAAAAAAATAGTTCTTGATACCACTTTGTTGGTTTTATGATAAAAAAATAAAATAAAGTAAAGAAAAGAAAATGTGCAGAAATGTGAGAAGAATGAATAGAGAAAGAACTTAACTTTTATTCAATAACAACAATGCATTTATAATAAGGCAAAGAAATCTAAACTAATTATATAACTGAAAGATTTGATAACAAACTAAATTATTCTTAAAATATTAAAACGACTTATTGACTATGATATTACTCTAATAAACTAAAATAACAGAAAATAACTGACAACAATTTCAAAAACTTATTATTAACAATAATATAAATTTATATACGAAAATCATGATGTAACACAAAAATCAATAATTATAAAAAATATTACACGAGCGCTTCAAATGTAAAGGAGGAGAGAATGAAAAAGTTTTGCAGAAGTAAATGTTGTGAATGATACATTCGAATCAGGAGCATAGGAATCACAAATTATTTCATGATACAGGTTGTGGGTGTCCATCCATTTTAACTGAATTTGAACCAACAATTCTCATTAAAGCAAGAAAACAAAAGCCTTCTACAATCAACTTGTAAATGAAGTTACATTGGAGACAAACTGAAAGCACATCATTAGAATAACCAGGGAAGAAGGAAAAAGAAATTAATCAAATTAATCCACATTTAAATGAAATTACATTGAAGTGCCTGTTTTTGGACTGAAGCTACAGCCTTGTATAAACCGAAAAAGAATGACTCAGAGTGAACTTTGATCCGATTGACCACTTCAAGGAGTATGAGAGATTATGAGCTTACAACCATTCTTTAACTTCACATTTTGGAGTCTGTTTGCCAATCTTTCAGAGGGCCACATAGCATGAACTTCTTGTAAGGTAGTCAAGGACCAGAGTTCTTCAGGAAGATCATTCAAGTATTCACAGCTTTCGATGAGAAGATGTCTAAGATGTGGCATTGCAGTTTTGTCTAATCTCCAGTTCCTAACTCTCATTCCCCTCATCTCAAATACTTGAAGCTGTGGGAATTCTTCTTCCCCAACATTAAGGTCAAAAAAGACATGAGAGCGTTGCCTTCCCAATTTCAAAATTTGGAGGTTGGTAAGCCATCCTAGTGTATTCATCAGAAAAAAGTCATTGGCAATGTGTATCTGTTTCCAGGTTATTTTGTTGAGATTTGATGGAAAAGCATTTGGGTCTGGTGGAAGTTCTAGGAAGTCAATTATTTTTAGGCTTTGGAGATTGCTTAGGTGGTGTAGACTTGGTAACCTCACAGTAGGTAATTGTTCATGGGAACGAGGATGAAATGGATAGTGCAAAACTAATTTTCTCAACCTTGGAAACATGTCATTGGGAAACATGTCCTTATTCAGCATGGACACCATTTGTCGATCATGAGCCCTTAACCACAAGGTTTGGAGATTCTCCTTTCTTTCCCTATTTACTTCTGGCAACTTTGCACCCCCTCTCAAATAAAGATGTCTCAATCGCTTAAGCTTCCAAATTTCACTTGAGACAGTTTCTTTGTATCTTATATCTAGTGTTTCTAAATTCCAAAGGTTGCATATAGAAGCTGGAATGTGGCCTACACCCGTGTCTATTCTCAAATACCTTAGATGGATCATTGTCTTAAAACCACTATGCAGTGAATAATTCATTGCTCCTTTGGATTTAGAATACAGCACACGAGCACACTTGATGCTCTTTGGAATGCCATGTGTGTGCATGATTTCAGGAAAGAAGAACAAGGAACGAGTGTAGGATTGGTTAAATTTTTTTGTAGAAATATAAGACCGTGCTTTGCATTGCAAGGACAATCTACGAGGATTGCAAAAGGATAGAGTATCAATGTTTGCTTCTGTGCAAACCTCAAAAAACTTACATGATTTGCTCTCTGATATGCAGAGGTCACGAAGAAGATCATGAATCCGACATGTCTTGACACCGCCATCACTCCTTCTACTTGCCACTTGCACCAGGCTGCGATCCACCAGCTCATCCAAGTAGTAGTCACCAATATCTTCTAGCTCTGCTGTATCTGGGAAGCCAGTTTCTTGTGAATGTATGAACCCTTCAGCTATCCATAGTTGAATCAATTGCCTTGCATTGATCTCATAGTCTTCAGGATAAATTCCTAAATACAGAAAGCATGGCTTTAATCTTTGAGGCAAGAAATCGTAGCTGAGCTTCAGTATATCCATCACTTCAGTCTTGTCTTGTGTAAGATGCCAACTCACTTCCATGATTCTCTTCCACTCTCTTTCTGACTTCTCTTTCTTGGCAACAAGTCCTGCTAAAACAACTATGGCAAGTGGTAAACCCCCACAACTTTCAACAATGGATCTACCCAGAGGCTTTAAATTAGAAGGGCATTCTTCACCTCGAAATACCTTCTTAGAGAAAAGTTCCCAGCTTTCATCTTTAGTGAGGAAGGGAAGGTAGTAGGGACATGCAGTTCCTGAATAATGTGCCACCTCATTTATACGACTAGTTATGAGTATTCTGCTACCATTTTTGTCATCTGGAAAGGCAGCTTTTACCTCATCCCATACTTGGGTTTTCCAAATGTCATCAAGAACTACCAAGTACTTATTCCCCTTCAAGCATTCTCCCACCTTCATCTTTAGCTCTCCCTCGCTTATATCTCCACCTTCATCAGCTATTTTCTTTAATAAATCATTATATTCTGATTTGGACAGCAAACACTTGAGAAGGCTAAGCAAAACCTCACTGGCTCTGTAATCATTAGACACATAACCCCATGCACAAGAAGTAAACAACTCCTTCACCATATTGTTGTTATAAACCTTTCTAGCAAGAGTGGTCTTGCCCAACCCTCCCATGCCAATTATACAAAATACTTTACGACCCAAATCACCTTCTTCCACGAGATGCCGAATCACGTGGGTGGAGTCATGCACTAAGCCTACTACATCTTCTTCCTCCACATCCCTTCTTCTTCTGCGGAGCGATTCTGCAGCAGCAGTAGCTTCTTCATTTTTGAACACACCTTCTCCAATATCGTATCTCTCCTTGTTCTTATAGATCTCATCAATACGGTTCTTGATCCTCTCTATCTCAGCATGGACTTTGTGAAGCACCATGAACCGTTCTTTGAAGTGGAATAACTTGCTGAGTGCGTTTCTGGTTCTGTGTTTGGTGGCGTTGGCAACGTAGGTATCAACAATATCCTCAGCTTTGTGTGCGACATCTCTTATTTGGTTCACCACTTCTTTGACAACCTTTTCGTTGCGTTTTCCCTCGGAGCTTTTGAGGAAGATGTCTATAAACTTGAGTTCATTGGACAGGGAAATAATTTTGTCTTCCACGCCAGAAAGTAACTTGAGTTCATCCTCAAGTAACCGCGACAAGTTCTGTAGCAGAAAGGCAACAACACTATCTGCCATTGCTCGTGTAGACTCGAAAGAGTTTGGTGATAATATACAGAAAGAACGAAAGATAACAAGCTCTTTGGAATGAAGGTGACAGCAAAATGAAGTGATCACTAACAAGTCAAGATCATTGATCGTGGTAACTGTGTTGAACGCGAATACGCGTGGACAATTTAGTTTGACTTGACTTTTAATTGTAGGAGAATGTGATAGTGACTGTATGGAACAAATAATAGTCACTGGCTAATAGTTTTTAAAACTTCACTTTCTCTAAAAGTTTAAGATTTATGTTTTATTAATTTTATATTACATTGACGTTATACTTCATAGTTTTAAAAATTTATCATATTTTTTATGTCATAGCAATTGTTTTCAAATACAATACAAATTAGAGTTGGCATGCAAATAAAACAAAACAATTTATTCTGTTCTTATTTGTTACCATTTCAGTTGATAGATGAGTATATTTCTTATTCTTAAACATGTTACTAGGAGAGATAAAAATGGATAAACATGGCAAATATAAATAAAGGAAACCGGATATGTAAAATCCATGTGAAAACAAAACAAAAACCCAAAAGACAAACATAAGTGAAGAGAAAAGTTGAAGCTTCAGCATAGAAAACAAATAAACAGTCAACGTCCATTAAATGAAAGTGGTAGTAGCACACAATAATTTTTCCCATCCTCGGGTCTTACATGAGTAATGACAAATCCACGCGGAATACCACACCCAATACACGGAAGAAACTAATCAGGCAACCCCCCAGCACAAAGGAAGTAAACATCATTCTGCGTTAGTGCTCCATTATCTCATTGAGGTTAGCATAGTCAAGATCTTATAGAATCTAGATGCTCCCTCAAATCAACTTCGCTTCCCTGATTTGGACATGCTTTCACATTAGTTCATTCGGCAACGTATTCATCAGGTTATTACAACACTAGTACTTAGCAATGTCGAGCAGACACCGAGAATTCCAACATCCCGTATAGTACCATCTTAACTTCCACACGGGTTGCTAGAGCATCATCCCCGGCAATTCTATCGACAATAGTCAGAACCAGCACACCTAGCATAAAAGTTTTCTTTTGTTGAAACATACTCCTCCCCTACGCCGACTTTGTTATGGCTGTACACCAAAAAAGAAGCGATTTTTAAAGTAAATTTTTTCTTCTTAAACTCAAGTAAAAATCATGAAATAATATAAACTAAATCAATAGGTAAATACACGTTTACTTATATACTTCAAAGACATTTGTTTAAATTTTTCCATAATACATATACACACACATAATATGATACACTGAATATCATTCATTTAAACTCTGACAGTGGCACAACATGGAGATACAAAATTCTGACTCAAAAAGTCCATAAGAAATAAATCCAATTCTTTTCAGTTCTAATGTTTTTGCTGACTAAATTGGAAAATATAGACTACAACTTGAGAATAATGCAAATTAAAAACGGCAGATTTCAGAACAGGTAATATAATATGAATCTAGAGACTTGGATTTACAAAAACTCCAAATCTACCAAATATACAGAGAAGGAAAATGACCTTCAGCAAAAACAAAAAGGAGCCCGGTACCACTTTTCCTCCAGATATAAGATTATATATAATCCCCCTTTCCTTCCTCAAATGCTGTCGAAGGAAATGAAAGATGAATAATGAAAAGAATATTGGCAGAAAACTACCGAAAAAATCATCAAAATAATGATCCTTTCTCTTTGACTGTTGCAGCACAAATTTCCCAACCTTCTCAATAAAACCAACGAGGCTTGGGAGAGACATGGTACAAAACTTATGCTATTGCTACTGTTTTTCAGCTTCCATTCCAATTCCCTTTTCATGACGTTGAGATAACTGCTCAGATTGGTCAATAAATGCCTCTGGTGTCAACTCATCTTTGTTATCTGCTGACTTGAAGTCTGAATTTGAATCAAAGAAGAGGCAAACTGCAGCACAATCATCAACCTTACAAAAAGGAAATTTTGTCCTCCATGCTTGAACAGCTGATTCAACCAGTGTTCGAGCAGCAGTAGACTGTGAAGCAGATGCAACAATGTCCACGACTTCTTCATTTGATAGAACATCCCAAATCTGCCCACAAGAATCACACACTTAAAAACAAATCAAATATTCCACACATCTTGATCCAACATGTATTTCTCCATTCCAAGTGTAGACAATTCAAGCAGGGAACTTTCAGTCTCAATCAAAATTCAAAGGTCAATGGCAGGGTGCAACACGTTATATATTTGGTTAAGGCGGAAAGCTCAGAAGATTCAGGGGAAACACATTTTTAAAGTTGCATTCAGTCAAGATCGTTTTAACCAACTTTCAGAAGGGTTCTGCAAATTTAATAAAAAATTGTATTTTTTTTCCTTCTAATATAATATTTTTCCTTTGATATAATGCTAGTGTAATTTTCATCCCTCTAATATGATAATAACAAATTCTAGTCCATAATCCAAATAGGTGCAAAAGATGCAAGCATTTGTGAGAAAACAGCCTAAACATATTTCATGTTGACAGACAATTTGAAGAATATAAAATCACAAGTTAAATAATGTGGAGTTAAAACTTCAAAGGAGGCGTGAAGGGAAAAGAAAATTTTTCCAAAATCCCAACAATTTCACAAAGAGGAGTTAGAAACACACTCAGTTATTAGCTTAAATTTACTGAAAATTACAAAAGTATGTGTGAGAATTATTAAATTAAGAATGAGAATCACATGATTTTTGTGATTTTCAATAAATTTTAGCCAACAATAAGGAGTCTGTTGCTACCATTTCTCATTCCACAAATTCAGGTTTGAAAGAGGATAGAACGAACATGCATCTGTACATAAATATTGGTCACTGGATCAAAGTAAATACTGGTACAGCTTTTGATATCGTGTAAATTTTTGTAAATCATTTATATGTTTAGCTTAAACAGTAACATGTCAATTTAAATGCAGTGAACTTGGAACCAAATTTGGTATTTCAACTTAAGGTAATGCAATTGGCAAATCAAATACCATCTAGAGTCAATTTAATTCCAGAATTGGCTAACTATAAATATGATCTTGAAATGAATGAATTTCAACAAATAAGAAGATCATAGAAGGCAGTATATCATAAGAAAAGAACCCTTCAGGCCTTACCCCATCTGTTGCTAACACAACAAATTCATCCTTCTCAGTAAGGCGGTGATAAGAGACATCCGGAACAGAAATTAATCCAAAGTCCTTGAGGCAAAAATCTCCAAATGCCCGTGCCATAGCAAGTCCAGGGAAATCAGAGTTAGGCAGCCAAACTCGAGCCACATCAGGTTCATTCTGAAGGGAAAAAACCCTTCCTTTACGATGCTTGATCCTCTCTTCTTCCCCTAAGTGAAATCAAGTTCACATCATTCATCAATACCCCATATGGATATGCAGATATGAAACACTGACTGATGTATGGAAAAAATTTCCAAGTCACAGCATTTATTAAAAATACAAAGAAACTATAGTTTCACTAATCCTGCATATATTTTTTTCACAATAGTCAAGTTGTTCTAAAGGGGAACCAAAGAAATATATTGGATAAAAAACAAAAGAAAAGAAGACAGAAAAATATAAATGTTGTGTAAACAGAAGTCAAGATTTTTCACAATAGTTCAATTTTGATATATACTCAGGTGGCTAAGCCTAATATACTGAAAATGTTGTGCAACAAATGTTCAATTCGTTTAGTTTCCTTTTAACACAAATTATGCTAAAACTAAATCATTAAATATAAATGTCCTATAATAGGTTATCAAGGAAAGGGTTAGAAGGCATTTGAACCCAAGGATTCAAATGCTACCACAACACATTCATCATATAGCCTTTTAGATTTATTTCCATAAACGATAAGTCCATTTGTCTAAATCAGACAAGCAGTATCACATGACCATTACGACGCTGACACAGTGGCACTACTGATTCAAGGGAAATAGTGTAAAGAAATGGAGTTCTTCAACTTATCAAGTCCATTCAGAACACAAACACAGAGAGGGGGAAGGGGAGAAAGAGAGAGAGAGAGAGAGATACTTGGAAGATTTGGCTTAAGATCAATGGTCAATTGAACAGCAATGAGAGACTCATCATGATCTCGGGTACCCAACACAGCTCTCGAGTCTCCAACATTTCCAATAACAAGGTCCAGCCCCTAAAAGAACATAAGGAGTAAACAGTGTAAAAAACAAATAAGAAAATTATCAAGAGAACAATACATGGTAATTTATATTTCTTACTTGCTTGACCAAGGTAACTGCTGTAGTGCCACTGCAAAAGCAGTCAATATCAGGATGTAGTTTCAGTTCTTTATCCATATTCTTACAAGCCTTCAAAAAAGAATCTTTTAGTGTCAAAATTGTATCTGTTTCATCAAGTTCATGATCAGTGGGACTAGGTTTCTCATCAACCAGTCTATAGCCAGGCCCGTCAGATTTATAACTTCCGGCAGCACTGCTATGATCGCTGAGTCCATCTTTATTCTTATGATGCAAATCCCATTGGGCATTAAGCTTTAAAGGGAAAGAATCCCTAACTCTCTTTGCAACTCTATGGCCATAAGGTCCATGACCATCAAAAACACCACAAAAAATGGTGTCCTCCCTTTGACAAAAGTTCTGCAAAACGAAAATAAGGAAAGTTTTGTGCAAATTATTAACATCTATATAACTAGTCTTAGTGCAAACTCAAACAATCAAACAGAGAGTAAACATCTGATAGTTTCTTTATTGCCTTTCACTACCAACAACATAAGAAGATTGAGGAAGAGTGTTAGGGTCAGACACAGGTATGAACATACTCATTTACGCCAGGATTCCATAATCCATAGATCATATCAGTTCATATTTACTCCAAATGCATAAATAACTTTTATTTTTAAATTTAAAAAAGAACAAGAACACTAATTCATGTAGACTTGGTCTTAGCTGAAAGATATGCTAAAATAATTTTAAAACATTAAAAACTGAAAACGTAAGTAACCCATTCATGGTTATTTTTAAAAAATTATAACATGCAGAACACCTACTCAACTTTGATTACCTTCCAAACATATAACTCTTACACTTCCAAAAAAGAGAAAAATAAATGGGCCTTCATTTCTACTATTGCGAACAGCATGACAAGTAATACAAATGCAAATGTAAAAGGCATAAAATCCCAAAACACCATTAATTTAATAGATGCTAAAAGAAAGAAGGGGCTAACCTCCCAAACAAGCATAGCATCTTGGTTGATCCCTTTTCTACCTTGCTTGCAATACAAGGATGCAACCTCGCTTGACCCATTCAAAAACATTCTCCCAGGCACCTTACAATCAAAGGATGAGGAACCCCTCAACCTCCTCCTCTTCCCACCATCCAAATTGGACTCAGGCGAATAAGGTAGAAGAGGGGGGGAACTACCGCTACCACCAACCTCCGAAATGCACGATCCCATTCCCAGTGCCCTCACAATGTTCAGAAAACACTCAAATCCCGCCAAACACTCTGAATCCGAACCCCTCGCTTCCCCCACCAGATCCGTCCCATACCGGTTCAGTACCTCCACCGCCTGTCACAATCATCATCATTATTTCAGACAAACACAACCACAGAGCTAAAAATCCAGATTCAGAAACCAACACAATCATACATGAAAGAAAAAAAGAAACACAATTAAAATGGAACCTGAGTCATGATTGCAACGAAATCCCGTCCAATCGAATCAACGCAAATCCAATAGCGAATCACCCTATATGGCAGAAAACTCGTCGAAAAGCGGAAGAATAGGAACACAAAACGACTCTAGTGAATAACATAAAATAAAAGAATGAAATCACGAAAACAATTCGAAATTCTCTATCCTCCTTCGATCCCTCAAGAAATGATTGCGAAAACTGAGAAGCGAATCAACGAATGAAAAATCTCGATTGAAGAATCGAACAACGAGTTGGTATTGTTCCTAAAATCCTTGAGAGCAGCGGTACCGTCCGGAGCGGGGGCGTCACCGGCAGGTGGTGGCTTTCGACGAATGGCTGTGACAACAGAGTTTGTTTCTCCGCCACGCAAAAGAAGAATATATTGATTGATGCAAACCAGAAGAATGGATCAGAACGACAACGTGTAATACAAAATTCAGAAATTAAAAAAATGTGATAAATAATGGTGACACGTGGCTTGGACGGCGCAGATGATTGGATTATTCGGGCGTCGATGGATAGGATCATGGAACCCCAAAAAACATGATCGTGTCTAATAACTAAATCCATATTCATTGACCAAATAATAATAATATATCTATTCTATTCAACATTTTGTTTATATTTATCGGTAAATAAATCTTATTAAATGATTTAAACGCATTTTTATTCGTATATAAATCCATTAAATAATAAAAATTGTGTTACGTAAAAGAATATGCCTAATATTATAACGTATGAACTTTGTGTTCTTATTAATTATTTGTCATTAGTTTTTTTTTTTTTCTCTGCTAAACGCGGGTTCTTCAAAAGGTCAAATCATTCAACGCGAAAAATCAACGTAGACTAATCAAGTTGATTAGGTAATTGTAAATAGTTTTTGTTTAAGTGTGTAAAATTGGATTTATTGAAGGAGGTTATAATCAAGGGAGAGATTACGTCTTTTAAATATATTAATTAAGATTCAATTTTCTAGGCATTTGTATGAAAAATAAAATATTATTTTTTTCATAGGTTATTTTGTGAATTGTGATCTTAAACTTTGTAAGTAGCTTGTCCCCCAAAACTTAGATTTATTTGACTGTAAATCTGGTAGACAAGTTTGGCCCGACAGCAATATTTTTTTAAGGAGGTTTCACGTGGAAATTGGGAAAAGTCTCCTAATCATATCACGGGTGGGTTGTTTCATGGTTTCTTACACAAGAATAGAGAAATGATACCAGAATAATCAATTTGTACAATTATTTTTATAACTTAATTTAGATAGAAAAAGAGAAAAAAAAAAAGAAGCTAATATATAATAAAGAGAGATAAAGAAAATATTCTTTGTGTAAAGGTTTATTATAAAAATAACACAACTCTTTTAAAAAAGTTTTATATGATAAATAATGTAACAATTTTTTAGCATTTATCCAAATGCGTGTAATAAAAAATTATGCAAGGCGAGCTTTCTTTCAAAATATATATCATAATTTAGTGTATTGATGATATTTAGTGCGCTCTTAGACACATTAAAAAATTAATAATTTAATTGTATGCTTATTTAATAAATTATTATTACACATAAAATTAAGTGATAATTTTATTATGAAATTTATTAATAATAAATTTAAAAGTATAAATATCATGTTACTTTTATAATTAAATAAAATTTGTATAAACCTTTTAAAATGACGTGGCCTGTTTAAAAGGCCACAAAATTGTATATAAGTTATGATTCTTGTAATTTTTTAAAACTTATTTTGTTAAAAATTTTAATATATTTTATCAAGATAAACTATTTTAACATATTTCAATAAATTTTATAATTAAAGTCATGGTAAAAAATTATTAAATAAATGGTTGATTAAATTATGTATGAAAATGCACTAAATTGAAAAGTGCTTATTTAAATAAATTGTATAAAAAATTGCCAAAATAAGATAAAAATAAATCTTTATAAACTTTCCATTATGTCTTTCAAACATTCTCAGTTGGCTCAACCTAGAAAATTATCATGGTCCGAGCATAATTGGGCTTTGTTAAATTATGAACAGAAGTCAGCCTCCATAGTTCGAATTACAGGTTCAAATTCTCACCCATCCTGCTCCGAGTAAAAAATATAACACTCCCATATAAACACTAACTCAAAGTTTTCCTTTTCTTGAATTAAAATACCGCTTCTTTTGCTTAAAATTTCATGTAACAAAAATTTTAAATAAATCAGATTTACGAACAAATGTTGAAAAAAAATCATATTTAGACCAAGAAGATAATTTTGTTAGGTTGGTGATATAAACATTTTTTTTATTACGGACGATTTGTAAGTTTCAGTTGGTATAATTTTGTTGAGACCTACAGGATGCCCCAACTTTGAAGTAGAATGGAATACGTGTTTTCATACCTTACAAAAAATCTTTGATCATAGTCTTCACAAAATTCATCAAAATTATAAATACGCGACACAAATAATTTATATTGTTAGCCAGAAATAAACACCTAGAAGACGAGGGGAATACATTTTGTTGAATGAAACATATTCAAATGTACATTACAACCAAGGAATGATGTATATTATAACAAAATCGCCCATAACGTAAATATATACCAGATACAGATTTTTCACTTGTGACATTACAAATGACTTCACTTCTACACAACAACGAAGAAAAACTATAAAGAATCCGCACACTGTCACACAGTTCAAAATTATTGCATACCAATAATTTTTAGAACCCTTATTAACTTACCACTTTTAAAGGGATTGGCACAACAATATCATATGCTAATAAACATTATCTAAGATGATGATGCAGCTTTGGAAGATGGGTTGAAAGGCACCTGTTCAGCACATGTAAGTAATTCATGGGGCCCAGCTTCTTCTCGGCCAACACCTAGAAGGTCCAGATAATATTGGTAATGAGAAACGATGTTGTTCATTGAGTCCACATCACCTTGTCCACAAACACCGTCTCCATAGAGAATGTTCATTGTAGTGCCAAAACCAGGAAGCCGTTTCTCCATCGTATCATTCTTGGTAGGCTTCCAGTTACCAACAAAGGCGTCGTGAGCAGAGGGCTGATCCTTTTTGATTGGTGTCATCCATCTCACTATTGCAGCCTGGAAAGCAAGGGTTGCATTCTGCTCAATGTATTCTGGATGGCTGAGTAGATCCACCTTCAAAAGTTCTCCAATAGCACCATAATTATAGTTCCTATATTGATGATACCAATAAGTACAACCCCCACATTCAACAAGCACAACAATATAAAGTTTGTAAACTGGTGTAAGATTCGACTGGTGTTACAGAAAGCCTGAACATGCATATATTATTTTTGTATTGGCATCGATATTAGTGAAAAAGAAGAATTCCAAGTCCTCCTAAAACATCCTTCTACTCACTAGATAAAGAAGGACTTGAATGTTTTATACTTTTTCATTTAATTCTCTCTCTTTATGAAGTAATAGGAAGGTTAACAAAAAGATGTTGTTGGAGGATATAACATTACTCTTTTCATATATCATTTACACAAACCCAGAAATCCAGCACTCAATCTCTCTGTCAACAATCAGTTACTGCATTTTTTCTTTCTATTTTCCCCTCCCTTTACCACTTTATCTCTTGTTGCTATAAGTTCTTTCCCATTTACTATAATCTTTCAAATCTTTGGAATGCTCAATAACTCCTATCTGTTCTTTAATCTTATTTGAAAGATCTATAACTGCCACAATGGGCTGCTCAATGATATTTTGAAGGATTTCAACTCTAGTAGTTATCGGTATGAAATGTGTCATTTACACTTCATAGACTGTTCAAACCACAACTTCTTTGCTAAATTATGTTTCATGATCATGGTTATTGACGTGCTTAAAATGAATTAGCTGGTAAGAGTGCTAAAACCCAACTGCTGTCCTTTTCAGAGAAGATGGGATTTTGTCACTGATGAAAAAATAACTACAAGGTGTGGCACTCCATGTATTATAAAGCAATTTAGTCAAACAATAGAAGTAAACAGGGAATATCCAGAACAACAAAAATATGCTTCTCTTACCAGCAGAGCTAAACATATACATACCAGTAAATTGGAATGGCTCCACGTCCATAGTAGTCGGCACCAGGAGCGCAGGGGTATGTTAATTTGAAATAGTCATCACAGTATGACTGACTAGGACTCATTTCATGATTGTAACAAAGACCCCAAGCCAAAGGTCCTCCAGTAGCCACTCCATAACCACCTGCCATTAGCATTGCAAAAATGGTCAACAACACAGTAATCCAAGTTAAAGCACAACAAAGTCAACCACCACACTATGCAAGTCCCACAACATAAACAATAAATCTAAGTCAAATCTCCACTCTCACCAAACAAATTTCTATCTCACAAAATGCAAATCTCTTTGAATAATGTATGCAACCATTTACCTAACTACAAAAGAAACAAATAAACCAAAGTTCACTCTAGACCAATCAAATAAGACCACAGAACAACAATCCTAAGAAACTCAGATCTCCCACATTACAATTCCTAAGAACGCAATAACAATCCTACACACTCACGATTCCTTACACAAGCTAATCAACTCTTTAAAATTAAATTCCAAACCAACCCTAATTAACAGCACACCACAACCCAACATCAAATTAACAAGGAAAAAAAAAGTGAGACACGATACTAACAAGTGGTCTTGCTTCCAACATGTCCGAGGAAAGCGGCAATCTCCTTCATCTGCATAGTCTTGTTTCCGGTGGTGCCAAAACCCAATGGTTCATAAAGCGCCGCGGCGATGATGAAAGAGCGGTAGTCCCAGAAACCAACGGCATGCGCCACCGGCGTGTTTCGTTTGGAGAAGAGATTCTCGAACTGGTAGGTTTGGAAATAATCGGAGATAGTGAGATTACAACAGTAAATAGACCAATCAGCACATTCCCACCCTTTTTTACAGTACTTCTTTCCGTGCTTATACTTAACCAGCGTCTTCGTGTCTGAGTCATCACTCTGCGCACTCGTTGCCACAGCGAGAATCACCAACGCGATGGCCAGAACAGCGAGTCGTTTTGCCGTCTCCATCTCTGATCTCAGAGAGAGAGTGAAAGGGGAGATGGGAGAATGAAATACGAGTGTTAGATGGAAGGTCCTTCTCTGGTGGTGTAATGGGTGCTTGCTGTGTGTGATTATGCATCGAACATGTTTCTCGGAAATCAATGGTGCGTAGGTTGTTGGTGGGACACAAAGTGTTCGATGTTTATGTCAGAACAGACTGGCTTTGAGGCAAAGAACCACGCTTCTCCACCGACAGCTAACGTGGATACATGAAATGACATTATTGCCCTTCAGTTTTGTGTTACTCAGTTCAGTTGGCTTGTCTATTCTTTTCTGATTCTGATTCGCAGGGTCTATTCCAACCTTATTATTATATTATCAAGTTAGTTGTTTTTCAATTTAAATTTAGTTATTGAATATAATTAAAATGTATTTTTTTAATATTTAAAAGAAAAAGTTTGTTACTAATAATGATTCAAATAAGATTATTTTTAAACAAAAAAATGTTTGTGGAGTATATAGTAACGGGGAGAAGAGAATCCAGTGAAGAAGAGGCTGAAAAGGTGTAAACGAACTGTAAAACAACGTTTAAGAGAAAGAGATGGTAACAGCAACCGAAAGGAACTTATCAACGGATAATTATACTAAAATTCTATACACTAAACCATCAATTTCTTAATTATAAATTGTTTTATGTATTAAAAGTAAATGAGCACGTTCAGCCAAATTTATTGTCGGCATATATTACGAGCCCCTAATTTTTATATTAGAATGAAAATGATAAAATAAAATTGTTGCTAATTCTTGTGTCTTAATTTTATTTTAAAAAAAGGGTATTGGTTGTAATTTTTTGGTTTTGTGATTTTTACAAATAGTATAATAAAAAAAACATAGATGAATTCTTATAAAAACGTTCATATTCAATTTGTGCAAATTTTATACCAAAACAAAAAGATTATGACAAATTACGCTCAAACAGGTTGGCTTGGCTCGGCTCGTACACTCAATTTTAATATTGCTACCGTCACAGTTGCCAACCACCATAATTTCTCTGATAAAGAATGAATTATTAAAATTGTATAAATTAGGTATTTTAATTTATGAGATCTTAGTTTATTTTATTAATTCTTAATTTTCTAAAATATTATTGCTTTAGTTTTTAATATAAAATTAAAATAAATAATTTTTAATAACACTAAAAGATTGATAAATCTTTTTATAAATTCAAATATATAACTCAATAAATTTTGAAAATTAACTTACATACTCTATCTCACTACTGTAAGTTCATATTTATAAGAGGCTTAATAGACTAATAGCAAGGCGTGACATTAAATTTCAGACACAGATTCTTTTTCATTTTAAAATTTTTTTCATTTTTACTTAAGTAAATTTTTTTATTTAAATAAAAGTATAAAATCAACTGATTGAACGTCCAGTTTACGAAAAAAATATCTTGTATTTAAATTTCTGATCTAAGAATGATAAAAAAAATTATTTTAAAATCATATGATTTGAGCTATTTACTTGATGTGTTGATACCCTTGGTGGGACAAAACTTATGCCATAAAGCCATTAAAATTGTCTGACAAAAAAAAGGCATTAATTAAATTTGGACTAATAATGAAAGACTTTGATATTTTATATAAAATCATAAATTAAAACTTTACTGTTGTATTAAAAAAATATAGTATACCTTACATATAATTGTCTTGAAAGTTGAAAGACTCTGAGCAAATACATATTAATAGACTACTAACAATTCATGTCATGGTTTAGTTAAAGAAAAAAAAATTAATAAAAATTATATATATATATATTTAATATTGTTAAAAATAATTAAACAGATATTTATAAGATATATTAAACATTGTATCTATTATTAACTTATTATGCTTTTTTACTTTCAAAAATATAATTTATCCCATTAAAAAATTATCCATTTAATTACCACTGACCGTGCTGTGTTAGATGCCTTGAAATTAATATAAACACTAAAATCTATCACGTAAATGAAAAATTATCTTGGAATATATTTTTAGTTTCTAGTTTTTGGTGATTTTTTTTAGTTCTTTCAAACTTTTTTTAATATTTATATTTTTGTAAATTTTAAGTTTTAGTCTTTATTTTTTATGTAATTTACTGAACAGTTATTACAAGTCAATTGTTTCTTAAACTTAGTGAGTTATAGAGATTAAAATAAAAAATTCTCAAAAATATATTTATCAATATTGCACTGAGGAAAAATTAGGAAACTAAATTCAAACAATAAATCATTACAAAACTTTTCTATAAGTTTTTGTTACTAATTTATAAGTATTTTTCTGTTCCCATACTTGTTGACAAACGGTGAGATCTTGATCATTCATTTGTGTTAAAATGGCTTCTTATATGACAAAGGATATTTTGGAACCAATCTACGTATCAATTGGAATTGGGTATTTTCTTCAAACGTTTTTATGACACTTCTCATTCTGATGTCTGGTGCAAGGTAAGAATCAATTTACAAACCAACATGAAGAATTAACAGTTCAGTTATCAACCCTTATTAGAATAGAAAAAATGTTTCTACAAAGTCAATCTCATTTAGCTTTCTTTTTCTTTTAATTGATAAAATATTATAGACAAAAAACAAAACTCACTCAAATTGAAAATGGAAGACTTACGTAATGAAAAACGTAATGAAGCTTAGGCAAACTCAAGAATTGAGCAAAACAAAGAGTGAAAGAGATTACAAATATTCATGAATTTTCATTTTGTGAAATGTATGTGAACTCCTAGATACATCGTCATCAATCATCATCATTAATCTACAATTAGAAGAAGAGACTTGGAGTGCCAACATTCCCACAAGTGTTTTAACCACATTTTGAAGAATTAGGATCATTAATAAGAGAATGGTGAGCTTGGCCAGCCATGGCCAATTCAAATTGCTTGAATGAAATTGGAGACAAAGAGAGTAATTCAGGTGCCTTCAGATTGTCCCAACCCTTCACATTATTTGTAGTTGTTGACCCATCAAGACCAATATGTGTCACATGCTTCACATCTGTTGGATACCCAATTTCCATCTCAGGTTCCATCTCTTCAATTTCCTCTTTGTAAACTGAATTGAAGTGAAGAGAATATTCAACAATCCACACATTACAAAGATGCAACAAAGCGATTATACATAAACAAGGGGAGTTGAAATAATTTGGCAAATTATCCTAGACATGTGTATTCACAACTTCAGCAAAAAATTAAATTCAAATCAACTTTAAATATGCCTCTAGTAGCTCAGTCAATTTGTGTTAAGAAAGCAGAAGCTATATAACCATATATACATATCTAATTATTAAATTATTACCAGTGTCAAATTGTACTAGAATTAAATATAATTGTGTTGCATAATTAGTGACCCCATACTCGACAGCTAGGCACAATCACTTTAATTCAGGGAGACGAATAAACATAATTAAGCACATGAAATCAAATTCGGCCTTCAAATTTCAGACCACACCTCTAACCTAACTCCATAGATGCCTCTAAAATTCAGCTACATATATATTTTCCATTTTCTGCTGATACAGATCCACACTTAGTTTGTCTACCATTTTCAATTGAAAAAGTGGAGCAGCACTGGTCACCCTTAATTAGTCCAAAAATAATCATATTGTATTGTATAAAAATACATACATAAAACGAAAGATACAATAAAAGAGAATTACAATATATCAGAAGGGAAAAAATGCACCTACCATAAGCTCTATGCATTTAAAAAATTCTCTGTCGGTTAATGGAAATCGAAATTCCATGTACGAACAATCATAATTCATAAGAAACAAAATAAAAAATAATAAAATAGAGAGGGTGCTACTCACAAAATAATTGAGATAAACTCTTAATGCCCTTCATTAATCTTTGTATGCCGGCAGATACATTAGGCTTTGGTAGAACAAGAAACCCAGAAGGCTTGCCCCCCTTCATTTTGGTTGTGATCACTGATCTATCTTGTCGTTCTTGTCTTCCTTACATAACAAATATCTCAAATTACTGATAGCACTCCAATCACCTAAGAAAGAAAAATGAATAGAGAGATATTGAGAGAGAGAGAGCAGAGACTACTTGAAACAATAGGGCCTTTTGAATCTTCTTTTGATCCTCTGGGTGCACCTAATTCAACACTTGAATGTGAAGCACAGCTGAAAGAGAATGGAAGAACTACTAATCTTTCCATACGGTTTTTCATCTCTTTCTAAACACAAATTTTAGGTGTAGCAAGAGCTTAATCTTAATCCTAGCTATCAACAGGGAACCTAGAATGGGGTTATATTTAGGTTCCTATTTGTCTTTATGAACAAGTTAGAATGATTTACGTGGGGAAAGAAATTATTTTCAATCCAAGTTTGGTATGTGAGATATAAAGAGTATATATAAATGATAATGGAGTGGGTGTATTAGAGTGGGTAGTTGGTTAAACTGTGCAACTCAACCTGCTTTAGGGATATTTACCAAAAAAAATTTTGCTTTTAAGATTGCTAGGCCAATAAGTAGGATTAGATGATTAGTGTTGAGTTCTAAAACCAACTTTTGTTCTTCTACAAGCTCCCAAATAATAATCACCATATTCCTAAAGTGGGCTCCTCCTAACTTGCATCACTTGTGTACTAAGGCATTCTTGCAGGTTTTTCACATCTTTACATTATGGAGCTTTTGTTCTCTCTACTTCTTTTCCTTTATAAGTATGTCATTTTGAACATCATTAGTTAACTTAATTTGAGCCTATGATTGAGTCTTACTTAACTTGTATATATATGTATATATCAGCATCATAGAGTGAATCACAAGGGAGTTCAGCAAATAATAATCAAGCACATGCCCATTATTTTTTTTCTAATTTTTCCTCCTTTCATGGTTTAATATATAAAAATTTTCTATGCCTTTTTTGTTTCTTCCATTGGTCAAAGACAATTCCATCGGTTATGAGTTTTGACTTACTAATTTTATGGGTGGGTGAATGAAAGTTTACACGATTAGGTTATATGTTAAATTCTTTTAGCCAGTAGTTTTTGAAAAGCATGTTTTAGGTAAAAATATAACCATGTAAAGACTTTAAAATTTTGATAGATATTCGTAAAGCGATTCAATTATTTGGGAATCTTAAAAATCAAAATTTTCACTGATGGGTGCATTCAAAGGTAAGATAAATTACTTTGAAAAAAAATTACCATCATCACAAGTCAGAAACTATTCGAAATATTTTGAAGTGCATACGAGAGCTACTCTCCAAGGAACTCAACTATTCATGTGGCATAAACAAAGCCATTGATGTATCACGACTTGAAAGTAGGAATATTTGAATGTGTTATAAGTCCAATCAATGGAGGAATAGCTAGATAAAAATAGTTAGATCAATAGAAAATGAGTTTAAATATATTTTATTTTGACCTTTTAATTTTGACTTGAGTCAATACTATTTGATTTGGTTTTATGGTAGGCCAGGCTAAGTTGGTCTAATGTCTTATTACTTATTTTATTAAAATATTATGAATAATTTACATATGATATGCAATAATCTCTTCTTTTTTTCTTTTTCTTTTTTTACTTTCTCTAACATAAAATATTACATGTGTTACAGAAATTATTTCTTTGATATTTACAAAGATTTAAACTATATAAATATATGAAGGAGGGGCTAATGATAAAAATAAAAGTTTTTGAGACACTAAACTTAAGAAAAAGTTGAAAAAAAGATTAATTTATCAGCACGAGTAAACAGATTATTCCCTTAATCTATAACCTGCACATAAGTAGTTAAACCAATAATTTACAGGGCTGGAACAATTTAGCTTGACTTAATCCTAATTAAAACTGGATATGAGAGCACTAGAGTGAACGTGTGTGTATAATTATTGTTTTACTCGCAATTTTTAACAAAATTTTACGACATAATGCCAACCTTTCGATATTTTAATACACAAGTTAATGAATATTAAATACACACTTTTTAACACTTGTAATTACTTTAAAATATTAAATAGTTGTTATATCGATCATTTTTTTAACATATATGTTTGATATATACCATATAAAATTATTAATAAACTTTTTATGATAAAAATAAAAATAAAAAATAGGAAAATGATCGATAAAACATTATTATATAATACTTTCAAATCATTTTATCAAAATAAATCAACAGAAACCTTCCTTTCAATTTTGTTTAAGCTTTGTCAAAGTTTAAAATTGAAATAAAACGAATTATTTATTAATATCCAAAAAGGATAATATATAAGGTTGTAAATGTAAAAATTAATATTTACTCATGAAAAAAATACTAAAACAAAATCTCAGTTCATGATGAATAAACAAAATCATTTGAAAGACATAGCTGAAAATATTAAGCAAATATATCGTTTCATCTTCAAAAGAGGCAATTTATATTGATTTGGTCTTTAAATGTTTGTGTGTGTTTTTCTAAATTAATCAAATACGTTTAATTAACGAAATGTCACTTTAATAGTAATTTATAATCATTTTATTATAATTTTAACGTTATTAAATAAATATTTTTTTAGTAGATGTCTCAGGACACACAAGAAAATCTTTTATAGTAATTTTTTTATTAAGAATTACAAGATTTAATATATTAAATATATTTTTTAATAAAAATTATTATTTACTAATTTTATATTACGTGTGCTTAGATACACATTTAAAAAATTGTTAAATAAATTTAAAATAATAATAATAATAATAATAATAATAATAATAATAATAATAATAATAAAGTAAGAAAAGCACTATATTGCAAAGTTATAAAGGTCTACCAGTTTTCGAGCAAATTTATAATATAACTTTATAAGGAATGGATTTGAAATTTCATTGAAAATGGTTGGGTTATCGTTCAGTAGTATTCTCTGGTGTGATTATAGCTTATAAATAATGTGGCTGAAGGATTATAAAGGTATATCAATGAAGACTATTCTGCTACACTATGGCATCACTATCTGGAAATCACTGAAATAGTTCTCTCTCTTGCACTTGTGTTACCTTGTTTCCACCATGCACAACCTATTGAGAAGATGTTGGCAGCAGAAAGCCCAAAAACACAATAGGTGGATTTTTTTCAAGCTTAAAGATTGTTTCTAAATCTTATTAATTACCTTCTTAGAGTGGTTGGGCTTTTGCCTCAGGTTATGTAATTTCTGTCTTATCTTTAATGATATAATTCCTACTACTGGAAAAGCATTGCATGTGATCTAAGCCCGATGTTATAATACCATAAACATGTTTATCAACCATATAATAAAATTAAGAATCTCAATCACAATGCATGTTGTGCAGCAGATCTCTTATTCTTTGATTACCATAAAAAGGGTGAGGTAATGTATTCCGTATTGATGTATGGAATGCCGACATTATGGTTTTCGATTCCGTATATAATTTTATTCCTTTAATGGCTTCTTCAATTAATTCTCAGACTTTCCATTGTTAGTCAGTTCTTCCTTTTAAGCAAAAAAAGAATTTTCATTAATATTTTGAAAAGACAAAATCTTTCCCTCTTTGCTTTCAATATCATTCCTGTGATGACGTCCATAATTAACACTCAAGCTTTGCATTACACAATATCTCTATCTCTCCCTCTTCAGTGTTCCCATATCATCAGAGGAAAACATACTCTTTTATTGTTTCTCAATAGACCAAACAGAGAAAATGGACAAGCCTCAGTTGAGGAAGTACTTTTATCAACTCCGGTTTGTGTTACTCACTTCCTTTATTTTTTGTTTGTCATTTCTTCTCTTGGGTTTTTATATGACTGTCAGTGATCATGGTTTTACCCTTTTACTTATCAACATGAATGGTGCAAAACATGCACATATGCCTAAACCCTCAAATTCTTCTTTCAATTTTGAGAAAACTATTGGTTGTCCTAGAAAAACTAACCATTCCAATCAGAATAAAATAACTATTGGGACCTCCAATATACCAAGGTGCATTGCAGAGAATCACAGAGAGACCATAGTTCCTGTCCATGGTAAAGGGCCTATGAGTGAACATATGAGTTCCCCTCCTTTGATTAGAGGCACTGTTGGAGTTGTTACAAATCATCCCACAAGCAATTTGGATTCGTGTTCAGGCCAATATATATATGTTCATGATCTTCCAAGCAGGTTCAATGAGGATTTGCTGAAGAGTTGTCACTCTCTCATAAAATGGTTTGATATGTGCCCTTCCATGTCTAACTTAGGCCTTGGACCTAAGGTTATTGAGAAATCAAAGAAAAGGGTTCTGTTGAAGAAAAGTTGGTATGCAACTAACCAATTTTCACTTGAAGTTATTTTTCATAACACAATGAAGCACTACAAGTGCTTAACCAATGATTCTTCACAAGCTTCTGCTATCTATGTACCCTACTATCCTGGCCTTGATGTGGGTCAATACCTTTGGGGCTTTAATGTTTCAATGAGAGATGCTTCACCAAAAGAACTAGTGAAATGGCTGGCACAACGACCTGAATGGAAAAGAATGTGGGGTAGAGATCATTTCATGATTGGAGGGAGAATTGGTTGGGATTTCAGGAGAACAACAGATAACAATAATGACTGGGGCACAAAGCTAATGTTTTTACCAGAAGCAAGCAACATGTCAATTTTGCCAATTGAGTCTAGTGGTTCACATGACAATGAGTTTCCAATTCCATATCCAACTTACTTTCACCCTTCTAAGGATGTGGAGATTTTCCAATGGCAGAAAAAAATGAGAAAAGTTAAAAGACCTTACTTGTTTTCATTTGCAGGTGCTCCAAGGCCTAGTTTATCAACATCCATCAGAAATGAGCTAATCAAACATTGTCAATCTTCTAGGAGTTGCAAACTCCTTGATTGTCTTAATGGTCATCAAAATCATTGTGATGATCCTGTGCATGTCATAAAGGTGTTTCAAAGCTCAGTTTTCTGTTTACAGCCACCAGGGGATTCATTCACTAGGAGATCAACATTTGACTCAATTTTGGCAGGGTGCATTCCTGTTTTCTTTCGTCCAGAATCAGCATATGACCAATATTTGTGGCATTTCCCCAAAAACGGTTCTAGCTATTCTATATACATACCAGAAAGAGATGTCACGGAAAAAAGGGTAACGATCAATGAGACATTGTCTGAAGTTTCAGAAAGTAAAGTGTTGGCAATGAGAGAGGAGGTTGTAAGACTTATTCCAAGAATAATATATGGTAATCCAATTTCTAGATTAGAGACTGTTGAAGATGCATTTGATATAGCAGTTAAGGGAATTCTTGGGAGAATAGAATCAATAAGAAGGAAGATTACAAATGTCAATCTGAACAATACCAATTCTTACCATGCGGGTGGCAAGGATACTAAGTGAGTTACTTTTTTATTCAAATCAACTTATTAAGTCAGGTGAATCAACAAAATTCAGAAATCTTAGAATTTGGAAGGTGTCACAGGAGTTATTAATTAGTTGCCTTTTCATTTCTGTTTGATTTTGTGGATATACATATCCTCTATGTGTAACTTTCCCCCAACAATGTCAAAATATTTCGTTATAATCAAAATACATTATTTAGAGTTAAGTTAGATCTAATTCGTTCTCAATTCCAATACATGTGAAATTAAAATGAGTGAAGATATACATATGCAATGGGGTTCATTTATTTACCGAAGAAAATCCTTGAACCTATGACAGGGTTATTTCTCCATCGAAAAATTGTGCTTAAGAATTAAGAATACTACTGTAACTAATGAGACGTGGTGTTGAATTTTTAGATTGTTGAAACAAGGAATCATATATTTTTTCTTCTTATATTAGAGACGAAAAATTAATATTAATTTTAGATAAGGACATTTTTAGTCCCTGATTATAGACTTCAAATTTTCATCTCTAAATATTAAAAAAAATCAAAGACAAGCTAAGCTCCAAGACAATGTAATTAATTGAAATAGAGGTTAATTAAGCTTTTCAAGTGATAGCATTCTGAATCAACCGATAACTGTTTGGAGAGAATCAATTGTTCTGTATTTTAAAAATGCAAATCTATAACCATTTAGATGTGAAGATCACTCGTACTGTACTCAATGATTAGCATATACAACAAGAACCAGATATATTATTGGTGGGTGCTGTGATGCTTTAAAATTTTTGTATAGGTATTATCTAAAAAATTTATACTAATAAAAAAGAGACACATGATAAATTAAAAAATATTATTATATATAATTTATTTAAAATTAATATAATATTATTTACTACATGTTCTTATTTTATATATATATATATTGTATATTAAATTTTTTTATTTTACTTTGTTATCATTTTTTTTTATATTTTTTTAGTTTCAAATAAAATATAATTTATATTGAAGTAATTTTTATTTATTATAAATAAAAAAATTATAACATAATATATTAACATAATAATTAAATATTAATAATAATAAAATTAAGAATATAAAAAATATATTTATATAATATTATTATTTTATTTTTAAATTTTAATTTATGTAATTTTAATTACATCTTAATTTTATTTGAAGACTTAAACGTTTTTTAACTTATTTAAATATAATAAATATAATAATTTATTATTAAATAAATTTATTATTTAAATATATGTCTAAATATTAGAATTCTGTAAAAAAAATTTTAAAGTACCACGAAATTTACCTATATTTAAGCTAATATGCGAAGGCAATAAACAAGACTCTTTAAGTAATGCCATAGCCTTTTCACATGCTTGTCTTTGTTTATTTTGACATACACATACACACCTGACAAGACACACCATCTGCTATAAACTAGAAAGCTTTATACATCCAAATTCCTTTCAAATAGCAAATGCACACGGAACACTAATATAAGCACAAACGACTATGAGCATTAAGCAAGGCACTTCGTTGAGCATTTTTCCAAGAAGAAAGTGGTGGAGTATCAGATTCCTTCCATGTACGCACCTCCATATCTAACACCCTTACTAATAACATCAGCAGCAGCATAGGACTCAAGTTCTGCCATTTCTTCTGGTGTTAGTTTGACAGACAAAGATCCAATGTTTTGATAGAAGCTCTCAACTTTGGTTGTTCCAGGTATAGGGCACACATCTTTTCCTTGGTGATGAACCCAGGCTAATGCAAGCTGAGATGCAGTACATCCCTTCTTTGAAGCCATTTCAGTAACCCTCTCAAATATAGCCTTATTCTGCTCTGCATTTTCAGGTTTGAATCTAGGAAGAACCTGCAATAGATTTAAACACAGACAAAAAATTATATTTAGGTATCATTGGTTGACAGCTAAAAAAATTACAAGGAAATTTCCCTGATTTACATACATAGTATTATTATGCAGGATATGGTTCTGAAAAAGCACAAGTAATTTAGATGAACTTTAAAACATATTTAATAGCATGCTTTTCCACAAACCTGCCGGTAATCATCCTGTGACAAATTCTCAAGCAACTTAGTTCCTGATGAAAAGAATCCTCGCCCAAGAGGACTGTATGCAACGATTCCAATACCAAGTTCCCTGAAAAGGACAAATTAAAAGACATGAAATTATATTCTAAAAAGAGTATAGATAGATAACAATAACAACAGAACATAATATTTGAATATTAAGTCACACCTGCAAGTTGGAATAATGTCTTCCTCTACATCTCTTGACCATAGAGACCACTCCAGTTGCACAGCTGTTATTGGATGAACTGCATGTGCTCTTGTTATTGTTGAAGCTGAGGCCTCAGACAGACCAACGTATTTTATTTTCCCCTCCTCAACAAACTTCTTAAGCTCACTACAATACAAAAAAAAAATAAAAAAAAAAAATCGAAGTCATCAAACCTTTTGTCCTTAATTTTTTAAGTTATGTAGTGGGAAATAATATGTGCCTAGCATTACTTTTCTCACTGTATTTTTTTTTACTGAAATTATATTTGTATAACAAGGTGTAAGATTTATTTTACAATCATGAAAGAGATAAAATGAAAGGAGAATATTGTAAATAAAAAAAGGTAATGCGATGAAAAGAGATTAAAAAAGTGAATGATAAAAAAATTATAAGAATAATATTACTTTATATTTTAAATCCACAAAAATGTTATAACTTCCCCAAAATCCTCGTTCAAATCCGCGTATTTTTCCTATACTAAAATTTCATAGCATGTGTGAACCATGGGAGAGTCAGCATATGTGGATTTAAAAAGTGTTCCAATCAATATTTTGAAAAAAACACTCATTTCATGAAGTGAACAAAAGCTTCTTAGTATTCAGTTCAAGTTACTAAAACCGTGTTACAACATTAAACTTTCTTAGTCTATGTCAAATATGTTACATAATATAAAGAAAAGAGACTACTAAACCAAAGCATAGAGAAAGGGCCAAACCGTGACTTCAATTGGCACATTAGCATCAACCCGATGTTGGTAATAGAGATCGATGCAATCGATACCAAGTCTCTTCAAGCTGCCATCACAAGAAGCTCTCACTTACGCTGGATCGCCGCGGATCTCTGCTTTCCCTTAAACATAGTTGGCCCCAAACTTTGTGGCCAACTCAACCTTCGCTCTCACACCTCCCTTCAAAGCCTGTTCCATAATTTCATATATATATATATATATTTATATATACAGCTTTTTCATGTGACTAGCTTAAGTTTTTATTTAAAAAAACCGGATGTATATGGCATAATTCAATGCATGGATAACACATTAAATGTTACAATTTTTAATAAAAATTTAGAGTTCAGAGTTTTCTTAACACGTGTGGCTGAAAACACGTTAAAAAAATGGTTATAGATATATACACTCATTTCATGCTATCATATCATAACATATGCATGCTCAATGAATATGCCACTAGACCAAAGCAAATAGTAGAAAAATTCAGACCCAGAATTGTCATATCAAACAACACAAAGAATCAAAACAAACCCAAAAAGGGTAGCGGAAACAAACTTAAAGTTGGAACCTTTCCAAGGAGGAGTTCGTTGGTGTGAGGACCATAGGCATCAGAAGTGTCAAGAAAAGTGACACCGCTTTCAACAGCATGATGGATAAGAGCAATCATGTCAGGTTCTGTCTTAGGAGGACCATAGAATGCAGACATGCCCATGCAACCAAGTCCCTGTATGTACACTTGCAAGCCTTGTGAACCCAACTTCATTCTACCTACTTTTGCCATACCTGTGGTGCTGTGTGCTTCCATTGTCAGTGACCACAAACAAGACAGGTTCCAATTATTGGGTTGGGTTTACCTCAAATTGCAGGTCTTGTATAAGGCCAGAAAGTGAAAGGTTGATGCATGCATGCAATGGTGGAGAAAATATTTTTTTGACTGTCTCAAAATAGAATATTACGAGGTTGTCTAACCTATATGTTCCACCCACTCCACTTAATATTAAAGAACTTAGTTGTTATTGTTGTTGTATTAATAATTATAAACATAATATTTTTATAATTATTAATGAAAACTGAAAATAATTTATATAACCAGCAGCCTTAACTCATCATTAATGTCAAACTTTTATTATTTCTTTATCACTAGTCCTAAATATAAGCATCGACTGACTCTGAACTTAACTGAGAAGAGGGCCAGAAATAAATAACTTCAGTTATATTTTTTTTAATGTATTGAAGATATTTTTCAATTAATTATTAGAAATTATTGTTTTAGACAAATATATTATCCAAATAAATATAATCTACTTCATCATTAATACTCAGAGAAACTTGTGTTGACGATATGTGCATGAAGCTAGGAAAACATAGAAATGGAGAAAGATGCATCATGTTGTCCTTCTCTTCATGCCATCTAGCTTGAACTACTCCCTCTCCATTACAAATGAAGTGAACTTTTAACAATTGTTTTTTCATATTAAGTGACATTTTTAAGATTTCAATGAAGCATTACTTCTTTTATTCCAATTCTATCCGACATAAATAATGAATATGATAGTTGAGTATCGTGGAAATAAATTTTTAAACAATCAAACGGAGTATATAATAAGAATAGTTTAGCAAAATTATTCCACTTATTAGATATTTATTACTTTCTTTAATCTTCGGGAAAATGCCTTAAATTTCAATCAATTTGAAATGGAGGGAGTAATATTTTCTTTCGTGCTCTCTGTTTTCATTCAGAGTTGGGCCAAACAGTGCTACATTTGCTACATTACCTTGACTTAGCTTCCTTCCATATTTGGACTAAGATTGGATTAACCTGTAAGAAACCATAAAGGAAGAGTTAAAGTGAGTAAAGGAGTATCACTATCAGCCTTGTGGATAACCAAGTCGATAGTGTCAATTTCCTTTTAAAGGCCTGTTTAAAAAAACTTATGAAAAATAATTTATAACTCTCATACTGAAAACAACTTATT